TGATCACTGTTACTTTGTAACAATGATCACTGTAACTTTGTAACTATGATCACTGTAACTTTGTAACTATGATCACTGTAACTTTGTAACTATGATCACTGTTACTTTGTAACTATGATCACTGTTACTTTGTAACTATGATCACTGTAACTTTGTAACTATGATCACTGTAACTTTGTAACTATGATCACTGTAACTTTGTAACTATGATCACTGTAACTTTGTAACTATGATCACTGTAACTTTGTAACTATGATCACTGTAACTTTGTAACTATGATCACTGTAACTTTGTAACTATGATCACTGTAACTTTGTAACTATGATCACTGTAACTTTGTAACTATGATCACTGTAACTTTGTAACTATGATCACTGTAACTTTGTAACTATGATCACTGTAACTTTGTAACTATGATCACTGTAACTTTGTAACTATGATCACTGTAACTTTGTAACTATGATCACTGTAACTTTGTAACTATGATCACTGTAACTTTGTAACTATGATCACTGTAACTTTGTAACTATGATCACTGTAACTTTGTAACTATGATCACTGTAACTTTGTAACTATGATCACTGTAACTTTGTAACTATGATCACTGTAACTTTGTAACTATGATCACTGTAACTTTGTAACTATGATCACTGTAACTTTGTAACTATGATCACTGTAACTTTGTAACTATGATCACTGTAACTTTGTAACTATGATCACTGTAACTTTGTAACTATGATCACTGTAACTTTGTAACTATGATCACTGTAACTTTGTAACTATGATCACTGTAACTTTGTAACTATGATCACTGTAACTTTGTAACTATGATCACTGTAACTTTGTAACTATGATCACTGTAACTTTGTAACTATGATCACTGTAACTTTGTAACTATGATCACTGTAACTTTGTAACTATGATCACTGTAACTTTGTAACTATGATCACTGTAACTTTGTAACTATGATCACTGTAACTTTGTAACTATGATCACTGTAACTTTGTAACTATGATCACTGTAACTTTGTAACTATGATCACTGTAACTTTGTAACTATGATCACTGTAACTTTGTAACTATGATCACTGTAACTTTGTAACTATGATCACTGTAACTTTGTAACTATGATCACTGTAACTTTGTAACTATGATCACTGTAACTTTGTAACTATGATCACTGTAACTTTGTAACTATGATCACTGTAACTTTGTAACTATGATCACTGTAACTTTGTAACTATGATCACTGTAACTTTGTAACTATGATCACTGTAACTTTGTAACTATGATCACTGTAACTTTGTAACTATGATCACTGTAACTTTGTAACTATGATCACTGTAACTTTGTAACTATGATCACTGTAACTTTGTAACTATGATCACTGTAACTTTGTAACTATGATCACTGTAACTTTGTAACTATGATCACTGTAACTTTGTAACTATGATCACTGTAACTTTGTAACTATGATCACTGTAACTTTGTAACTATGATCACTGTAACTTTGTAACTATGATCACTGTAACTTTGTAACTATGATCACTGTAACTTTGTAACTATGATCACTGTAACTTTGTAACTATGATCACTGTAACTTTGTAACTATGATCACTGAAACTATGATCACTGTAACTTTGTAACTATGAACACTGTAACTTTGTAACTATGATCACTGTAACTTTGATCACTGTAACTTTGTAACTATGATCACTGTAATTTTGTAACTATGATCACTGTAACTTTGTAACTATGATCACTGTAATTTTGTAACTATGATCACTGTAATTTTGTAACTATGATCACTGTAACTTTGTAACTATGATCACTGTAACTTTGTAACTATGATCACTGTAACTTTGTAACTATGATCACTGTAACTTTGATCACTATGATCACTGTAATTTTGTAACTATGATCATTGCAACTTTGTAACTATGATACTCTTAACTTTTTAACTATGATCACTGTAACTTTTATCATTGAAACTTTGCAACTATGATCACTGTAACTATGATCACTATGATCACTGTAACTTTGTAACTATGAACACTGTAACTTTGTAACTATGATCACTGTAACTTTGATCACTGTAACTTTGTAACTATGATCACTGTAATTTTGTAACTATGATCACTGTAACTTTGTAACTATGATCACTGTAACTTTGTAACTATGATCACTGTAACTTTGTAACTATGATCACTGTAACTTTGTAACTATGATCACTGTAACTTTGTAACTATGATCACTGTAACTTTGTAACTATGATCACTGTAACTTTGTAACTATGATCACTGTAACTTTGTAACTATGATCACTGTAACTTTGTAACTATGATCACTGTAACTTTGTAACTATGATCACTGTAACTTTGTAACTATGATCACTGTAACTTTGTAACTATGATCACTGTAACTTTGTAACTATGATCACTGTAACTTTGTAACTATGATCACTGTAACTTTGTAACTATGATCACTGTAACTTTGTAACTATGATCACTGTAACTTTGTAACTATGATCACTGTAACTTTGTAACTATGATCACTGTAACTTTGTAACTATGATCACTGTAACTTTGTAACTATGATCACTGTAACTTTGTAACTATGATCACTGTAACTTTGTAACTATGATCACTGTAACTTTGTAACTATGATCACTGTAACTTTGTAACTATGATCACTGTAACTTTGTAACTATGATCACTGTAACTTTGTAACTATGATCACTGTAACTTTGTAACTATGATCACTGTAACTTTGTAACTATGATCACTGTAACTTTGTAACTATGATCACTGTAACTTTGTAACTATGATCACTGTAACTTTGTAACTATGATCACTGTAACTTTGTAACTATGATCACTGTAACTTTGTAACTATGATCACTGTAACTTTGTAACTATGATCACTGTAACTTTGTAACTATGATCACTGTAACTTTGTAACTATGATCACTGTAACTTTTTAACCATGATCACAGTAACTTTTATCATTGAAATTTTGTAACTATGATCACTGTAACTATGATCACTGTAACTATGATCACTGTAACTTTGTAACTATGATCACTGAAACTATGATCACTGTAACTTTGTAACTATGAACACTGTAACTTTGTAACTATGATCACTGTAACTTTGATCACTGTAACTTTGTAACTATGATCACTGTAATTTTGTAACTATGATCACTGTAACTTTGTAACTATGATCACTGTAATTTTGTAACTATGATCACTGTAATTTTGTAACTATGATCACTGTAACTTTGTAACTATGATCACTGTAACTTTGTAACTATGATCACTGTAACTTTGTAACTATGATCACTGTAATTTTGTAACTATGATCACTGTAATTTTGTAACTATGATCACTGTAACTTTGTAACTATGATCACTGTAACTTTGTAACTATGATCACTGTAACTTTGTAACTATGATCACTGTAACTTTGTAACTATGATCACTGTAACTTTGTAACTATGATCACTGTAACTTTGTAACTATGATCACTGTAACTTTGTAACTATGATCACTGTAACTTTGTAACTATGATCACTGTAACTTTGTAACTATGATCACTGTAACTTTGTAACTATGATCACTGTAATTTTGTAACTATGATCACTGTAACTTTGTAACTATGATCACTGTAACTTTGTAACTATGATCACTGTAACTTTGTAACTATGATCACTGTAACTTTGTAACTATGATCACTGTAACTTTGTAACTATGATCACTGTAACTTTGTAACTATGATCACTGTAACTTTGTAACTATGATCACTGTAACTTTGTAACTATGATCACTGTAACTTTGATCACTATGATCACTGTAATTTTGTAACTATGATCATTGCAACTTTGTAACTATGATACACTTAACTTTTTAACTATGATCACTGTAACTTTTATCATTGAAACTTTGCAACTATGATCACTGTAACTATGATCACTATGATCACTGTAATTTTGTAACTATGATCATTGCAACTTTGTAACTATGATACTCTAACTTTTGTAACTATGATCACTGTAACTTTGTTAAAATGATCACTTAACGTTGTAACTATGATCACTGTAACTTTGTAGCTTCAATCCCTGTAACATTGAAACAATGATGACTTAACTTTATAATATTACTATGATCACTGTAATAATGATCACTTAACTTTATAATATAACTATGATCACTGTAATAATGATCACTTAACTTTGTAATTGTAACTATGATCACTGTAATAATGATCACTTAACTTTATAATATAACTATGATCACTGTAATAATGATCACTTAACTTTATAATATAACTATGATCACTGTAATAATGATCACTTAACTTTGTAATTGTAACTATGATCACTGTAATAATGATCACTTAACTTTATAATATAACTATGATCACTGTAATAATGATCACTTAACTTTATAATATAACTATGATCACTGTAATAATGATCACTTAACTTTATAATTTTACTATGATCACTGTAATAATGATCACTTAACTTTATAATATAAATATGATCACTGTAATAATGATCACTTAACTTTGTAATTGTAACTATGATCACTTAACTTTATAATATTACTATGATCACTGTAATAATGATCACTTAACTTTATATTATAACTATGATCACTGTAATAATGATCACTTAACTTTGTAATATAACTATGATCACTGTAATAATTATCACTTAACTTTATAATATTACTATGATCACTGTAATAATGATCACTTAACTTTATAATATAACTATGATCACTGTAATAATGATCACTTAACTTTATAATTGTAACTATGATCACTCAACTTTTAAATATGATCACTGTAACATTGTAACTTCGATCCCTGTAACATTGTAACTATGATCACAGTAATCTTGATCACTTTAACTTTGTAATTAGGATTAAAACAGAGAAAACAAATATTTGTTGAAGATATTTTAAATTTATTAATAATAAATGAATCTATTATATACACATTATTCATATATTGCACTTACTAGTGAGTCACCAACACTCACCACAGTTAATACATTGACATATGTTTCTGCAACACACTCATCTTTTGAATATGTACATCAGTCACACATCTGCTGAACATATCAACCCAGGAACATGCTCAATGAAAGAACTGGCCAGCAATTTCAGCAATGAGAATTGTGCCAGTTGTCCATTACAAGATCAGAATTAAAGTTATTAAAAATCCATTTTTTTTTACTTAACCCAGCATCAGGCTTGTTCTCCAAAAATGTTATAAAATAACTGATAACATAACACTTTCATTAGAGACACCATACACATGTGGAACTCGCTGCCTTATTGTCTAACACTCAGATAAATCTGACAAATTTTCAATGATTCAGATTTATCGTGTCCAGAAAATATTTTCAATCCCATAATGGGATCACAACCCACTATTTCTCATGTCCAGAAAATATTTTTAATCCCATAATGGGATCACAACCCACTGGTAGGGGACAACTGCTTAATTTTTTAAATTACTCTCCTTGCACTTACAAAGGAACTAATGGGTTAGGTGGTAGTATTAGTCCATTTAGGTTAAAGAATCCTATTTGTTGATTGTTTGAATTTACAGTTTCATAAAAATTGACAGATGTAATCTAAATATATGATCATCCAATGTAAAATGGTACCATGTCATAAAGATAACTGTGAAGCTGAAGCTTGGTGCAACAGTTTACTAAGATTATTATCAATGGCATTTTTAAAAACCAAATGGTGACATTATTTATACTATTAAATACAAATACAATAGGCTACCATGTATTGAGATGACTTTCAAATTTGAATTAAATAATTTCAATGATGATTTTACATTTTAAATCTCCATAAATTTTAAAATGCAAAATAGGCTTTTAAAAAATTAACTATTCACAAATATGATCAATCATGTATAATCTGCCTTTTCCTCTTTTAATATATTATTTGGAAATAAGTTTTATCATAATGAATAATAAAGGGGAATAATACTGTTAGATTATCTCGGCAGTGCAAGGGCAATGTACTTTGCAGGTACAGTGAACCAAATGTATCAAAAACTTTGACAAATGAAATGTATAAATTGATGGCAGAAAATCTTTGTCTTATAACAACACAACTAATATTGATGATACCCAGCTTTAGAAATTTAGCTTTTTTTTTTACATGTTATAAAGTCATAATAATATGCACATTATATAGAAGTAATGAATGTGAGATAACAAGGCCAGAGAGAGTTAACACCTCTTAAACCACAAGTAAAACCAACACCCTCAGGAAGTTCTTACACAGAACAGGAAACTATTGCCATCAGGTGTTACAGGAGATGATGTGGACAACAATTTTGCTTTATACAATATATAATTTTGTCCTTGCTTTCATAAGAGCAATTGTTTTATTTCTTTAAATCTATTAGAATAATTCGTTTTGTAATAAGCCATAGAGCAAATGAGTAGCTGTACATGCTGATATTAAAAAGTAATTTAAAATACTTTGGCAGAAGTAGTAAAGCTGCTTCACACTGTGAATGAATAAGACTTTAAAAATGAATAATGATTATCTTAATAATGAGGCAAAGGATATGCTGTTGGGTAATTTGTGAAGTAGTGTTAGCTCTATCTAGCCATCTCAAGGAAACATAGGGAGGGATAAATATTGGTTTTAAACAATAAAAAAAAAATAAACCAAATATCTTAAGGCGTAACTGGATCTGACCTCAGGGAACAGTGGATCCTGTGCTTATCACTTACTATCAATGATTGATCAAATGAAAAGTCTCACAAATAATTAATGTCCTAAGTAAGTTTGTGATGGGAGATTCTTAAGCATATTCTGACATGGCAGTGTAAACAAGTGATGGATTTCTTCAATGTTCACCCATATGATATCGATAAATGAGATTTTCAAATATTTGTATTGTTGTAATTAGTTGTATACAATCCTACAATCACAACATGTTCACATATTCCAAACAAACAATTGAGTAGATTTGGAGAGATTATCAGCTCCTAAATTTTATAAAAGACATAATGGGATCACAGTCTTGTCCTGCTGGCCTCAGATGATAAAGTCAGATATAGGTTTGCTGGTGGCTGGGTATAACCCAAATACTCCATTGACAACCGCAGAGGTTAGAGGCATCCGCATTCCTTGAGCACTTGATACTCAAAAAGCTGTATTCTTAGAGTAATTGTTCATCCAGTACTTTATTTTGGAGCAGATGGCAATCCAGAAATTCTCTAGGTCATTTTGTACTCAAGAAGAGTATTTTGAGCTCTCCATTCTTGGGAGTACATGGGTGGAACAACAAGGTGCTCTGTCGTTTTCTTTCGATGTGGTGTTGTAATTTGAAATGAAGATCACCGGTCCACAATGGATGGTCGGACATGACTTGTATGTCGAGCCAAAGGTTATGGGTCAAACAGTGGAAATCATAAGTGTCCATTGAGAACTGTTGTGGCTGCCCTGTCTTGTTGAGGTGGTGATGGGGTTTGATTGTCTATACTATGAGGAGAATGCTCAGAATTTCTGTGATGTAGGCTGTCAATATCCTAGAAATAGTTAAATTAATTTTTTTAGTAAAATTGTTGGGGTAACTAATATTTTTAACAAATATATAAAACTATAATAATAAGCAACTGATATAATATGCAGCACAATGAGTTGAAAAAAAAAAGAGTGTTTAATTAGCAATAAAGGTAATTATTAATAACGAGTTTACAAAACAGATTCCACTGAAACTAAATAAATACCAGTACCTATCAAAAAGGGTTTTATGCCAGGAAAAAAATTAAGATGGCCATCCAAAAGATCCTGGAGGAGAAGTTAAACTAAATCTCTAGTAATAACCACCGCAAATAATTCAAATCTCATAATCTCTTTTGATAAAATTTTTATGTACAGCGCGGTGAGCCCAGCCCTAGGCTGAGGTACCGCGCTATATAAGACGTCTTATTATTATTATATCTTCACAGAAGTACTCGTAAATTATTTTAGTTAATCTTAAGTATTTCATTTTCCCAACTTTGCTCGAGCCACAATAGAAAGCCATGGACCAGAGTAAAAACCACAGAAGTAATTATGTCCAACATAAAAAGTGACATTAAAAATTAATTTAAATATTATAACTGTAACAACTTGATTTTATTTTAAGAATGACATCTGCAACATTGGTACCTTGTATTTTTTAGTGTGGGGTGCTTTAGTGGGTGTGCGATGATGACAAAAATAAAAAACATGACGAAAAAAAATTTGGTTATGTTTTATCCACACCGCTCTATCATTTTTATTTATATTGCATTTACGACTGAAATTATAAAAAAATTATAAGAATGACTTATTTTCTTTAATTAAGAGCAATTAAATAAACTTAAAGGAATGAAAATGCAAGGCTGCATTATACATACATCTTTAAGGCCAAACTCTGCTTCATTTTCAACTTTGATGGAAAAGAATCTACCTCCGATGCCTCGTGACCGCTGACAGGCGTGCTTGTGGCGTGACTCGTGAAGATACTTCTGGATGGAAAAAATAATACTATTGCTACAACCTAACAAAGATTAGAAAATTATCTTCAACAATAGAAGATATAAGAAACAAGATCCTTTTGGTTTTTTAAACATTGAGACAGAAATCAACCATCACATATTGGACTTTTTTTCATTTGAAAACACTGCTTGTCTGACTCTCTAGAAAATTTTTGATATTGTAATTCTTCTAATAATAGAATGAACTTAACAAAGCAACTCATTATGTGAATGATGTAACTAACTTTAAGTGAAGAGAAGATAAGTCATAGGAGGTTTGTTGAAAAAATTTAAATATTGCTGTTTTGATTCATTACCTAATCACAGAGCTACATATTTTCAACTGAAATATTCTTCCTAAAATTAAATTAGAAATTTTAACCATTAAAAATTACTAAAAATTGATAAATCAAAATAACATTTTTTTAAAAATGTTTTAGCAAATACAATCTATGTTGCCAGACAGATTATAAATACTTTTCTTTAAGTAAACTGGTATTAATGACTTCTCATGCAAACCAAAACCATGACAATCCTGGCATATGGCCTCAATGATTTTTTTTTTTTAAACTGTACTGCTTTAGGAGGTAAATATAACCAAAATATCAAAAGGATCATTTCTTTGTCTTCAATGATTTAATCCATGAAGATAAGGACACAAATTACAAACAAGGGAATATCTGCTAAAGGCATAAAATCATAAAATGAAAGCTAGAGTAAACACAGATAAGCATACACCCATAGAGATACATAGAAGCAGATAGACTTAGAGAAAATTATGGGCACAAGCTTAAGCCTAAATTCACCATTCTTAATATATTTCTTTTTTTTTAAAAACTTTTATAATAAATTCAAGATTGGTGTTAAAAATTCATATTAGCATCAAGCATTTTCTAGATAAAAAAATATAAATATTACTCAAATATTAAATATTGCTAAAAATATTTCAAACACTGCACATAAGTTGTACCTTCTATGATAGACGGTTCCAGATATAAATATCAGAGCTGTTTACCCCTGTATTCCCAAAATCGTACAATACTGTCTCAAAACTGTACAATAGTATCTTATTACTAAATAAATAAATATACAGTATATATATCATGTATACAATAACTACTCGCATTGCATGTCTAGTGGGATCAAGTTAAGCTGGCGTCAAAAAAGGTAACATCTAAAAGTAGAGGACCAACTTTTATATTGGTATTTGCAGACTGCTACAGATGTCAATTAATATTTATTTGAATGTGAAGATCACATTATGTAACTGGTAAATAAAGTTAATGGTGAAATTTAAAGTGGTTCAAACTCAAATTCAAATAAGCATAAAAATTAAATTTCTTAAAATAAGAATTAATTAACAAATTAGGGCATCATTTAAAAAAACCTGCCAAGTAAAAAAAGTTGAGATTTAAATTTTAGGAAAAGCAATTTAAAATTTAAAAAAAAAAAAAAAAATCAATATCCAGTTTACATTTCTCCCGTTAACATAACAGTCTGATAACTAACAAAAATTTTTACCAAAGTAAAATATTTTGTAAAGAATGTGTTTGACAAGTGTGGATATAAAAATATGCAAAGAAACTGCTTTCTTCGGTTGACATTAACGTTACAAAAATGTGTGTAACTCTGTTACTAAATGGAATATTTTCAAAATGTAAAATGCATTCTGATAAAAAATGGATAGACTTCCTGAGGATTGAAGCAGAATAGGATATCGGCTACACAGACCATATAGTAGTCTAATCCATTCAGATTTGGTGCCGATTTTAAAAAAAGAAATAATTTTGATCTTATTTTAACTATTATTGTCTAATAGTTTTTAAAAGTATTATCTTTTACATATTATTATAATCTGTTTCTTTTCCTTTAATTTGATATCAAATACAACCATCTTGCTAAAAAAAAAAAATCCATTCAAAATTCCTTAATTGATAAGCGCACCCTAAAATATTTCCATTGGCCGAAAACCGATTGGGCACAATCGTGGAAAACCCCCTGGCATGGGAAGAATTAAATTGTATCAATAAAAATGTTTAAAACTTGATTATCATTTTTTTTTAAATTTTTATAAAAGAAATTCACTGCAGCATGATTTTTAAAAAAAATAATTTTAGAAACAAAAATGTGTATTCCAAAAAAAAAAAAAAAATCATAAAAACTAGACAGAATAAAAAAAAAATTTTTTTTTAAATTTTTAAAAAAGAAATTTACAGCAGAATGATTTTTAAAAAAAAAAATTTTAAAAAAAAAAATGTGTATTCCAAAAAAAAAAAAAAAATCATAAAAACTAGACAGAATTAAAAAAAACAGAACAACAGCTGTACAAACCATGAAAAGGTTTAGAACAGTGATTCTCATCACTGACCTTACGTTTCCGAATCACTTTTCCAGTGCTTTCCAGCTTGGCCCTAGCCTCTCTCCTTTTTAAAATGCGATGATACTGTTTGGCATTGACATAAAGAGGTTGTGTGGTCTCATCTTCAGGATCTTCTGCAGCAATTTGTATTCTGCCTGTTGGCTGCGTTGTGGTTGCTGTTGTTGTGGTGTTGGTAGATCCCGGTATAGATGACTGAAAGCAGCAACAGCATAAGGATTGTCAGAATTTTTTTTTAATGAAGGCTTTGAACTTTTATTGTTTTTTTAAAAACTTTTTTAAAGAGTGATTGTATGTAGTCTATAGAAAATAAATTGACATAGGAACAATTAGTTTCTCACAAAAAGAAATTTCATTTTGAGTCAGGCAGTCTTTCCTATTAATTTATTACAGCAATGAATTAAAAGATGACAAGTGAAACAAACACAAAAAAGTAGAAGGAACAAAACACCATGCTAGACTAGAAGAATGCTTAGGTTCAAATTCAAAGCCTAAAGATTAAACTCATCCTTAGTGCTCATTATAAAATCTACTGCTATAAATAAAGGATGATCGGTAAATGGCTTACCAAAGAATCTCCATGAACTAAAGTGGACTGTTGTGATTCATTGTTGTCATGTTCAGTACTCGTGTCTACAACAGTGTTAGTGGGCATTTCTTGGGAGGGTGTGTTGTCAATAGCCTGATTTTGGCTTATCACTAATAGAAAGAAAGATTATAGCTGTTCAAACCCCACAAAATCTGTATAATATTTACTACAACAACAAAAAAAAGTACCTGTATTCATTTTTCACACAATACCATAGAAAACTGACAAATCAAACATCTATTACTCTTCTAGGCATTTCAGCAATATCTAACTATAAGGGTGGGAAAATGTTCAAACTGAAGAAGGATTGGAACTTATGATTTAATATTATAGATTGATAGTATAAATAAAATATTCATCATAATAAACACAGAAAAATATCTCAAATCCTTATGGAAACATTTTCTTGAAGGGCCAATATTTTGAATTCATTGATCATATTTAAAATAAAGTTGTCAAAATGGTTAAATAAGTAGCAATAATTTTAATAAGAAATTGACAAAGCTGTTTTTCCTATGCCTTGAACAGTAAAGAAAAAAACATCTTATATACCGGTATATATATATATATATATATATATATATATATATATATATATATATATATATATATATATATATANATATATATATATATATATATATATGGCCGTCCAATATTGATAGTATAAATAAAATATTCATCATAATAATTACTATTTATACCATCAATATGGGACGGCCACACCTGAGATTTATGGATGCTTGCAAAAGGAGCATGAGGTAAGGCAACATTGAAATTAATGAATGGGAAATCATTGCCGAACAACATTCCAGCTGGCGAACAGCAGTGTATGAAGGAGTCAAAAAGAAGATGCGCAAAACAAATCCTTTACAACAAAAAACAATATGGAAGGCCAAACCTAATCAGGAGTCAATGTTCTGCAAGAAATGAAGTCAAGATTGCCATTCCAGGATTGGCCTAGAGAGCCACTCTTTGAAGTGTACATAAGCTACTCCATCGTCTTGCGAAGACGGAAGGATGCGATATATATATATATATATATATATATATATATAAAATTATTTTAAGATATAATTTAAGGCAAAGGTTTATTGCAAACATCTTAGATACCTGTGGCTTGTGGGAACTGGATGGAACCAGTATTGTTATCCATTGCTCCAAACATACTAGTGGGTTGCCAGACAGGACCACTTTCAGTCTGGACAAACTGACCAACCATAGGAGCTTGGTTCTGTGCTTGTAAAAACATCTTTAAAAAGAAAAGAAAAAAAAAAATTGTAGCACATTAATGATAATAAAGGGGAGAAACTGCCTTTCAGGTTAGGTAGAAGGAAATAAGTGAAACATGGTATGGGCAAACCTTAAAAGGATGCAACAAAAAAACTGAACACGTCAAGCCGCCTTTGTCACTGAACAAACAACAGTAAAACAAATCTAAAAATTAAAATAAACACTAAATCCTGGGTTACCAAGGCAGACTGAATTTTAATAAGGCAAATTGAATTTTAATTAAGCTTCTGCAAATTTAAAAAATTGTGTGCAAACCATGTACCATGAAAATAACTATAATTAATTAAAAAATGTATGTATTTCATTACGAAGTAAACCTCACCTGCTGTAATGGATTCATGAGTCCTCCAAGCTGATCTGCCCCTAACATTAAGGGAACCTAAAATCGTGAAATATAAAGGCACAGATAATTAAGTGGAAATATGCAAGTAGTTATGGTTACAAAGCCATGATGACAGCTGTATTTATTGACTTGTGATAAAATAAAAAAGTAAAATGTTGGGCTGTTAGCAGCATTATTGACCAAAGTAAAGAATGTTTAGGGCATCTTTCTTTTTTCCGTCATTTGTATAACCCCCAGTTTTCAGCCAGTTTGTTGCCAAGGCTCACAGGTGTGTTGCAATTTTATTGTATAAATGAATAAAAATAGGCCTAAAAGGTATTTTTGGGCATTTTATAAAAAATTAGCAGGCCATAATAAAATCCATACAATATTACTATTACTTAATTATCATTTCCTTGGAAACTGCTTGTCAACCAAAACAGTATATATTTATATATTTGTATAAAAAAACATGTGGTGTGTCATGGAACTTACAGAATTCTCTGATCAATTCAAATTAGGTAACAGAGAAAAAGAAAAATATAGTATCAACATAAAGTTGAAGATCTTCGGTACCCGGTACATTAAATAGTCATTGGGTTTTAGCAGAGAAATCTCATGACTGTTGGAGATCCCCGGTTTTAAAGAATCAACTCTTAATGCAAGAGGCGCAAAACTGAATTTTCCCCCACATCACATCTTTGTGCCCCATAAAGGATTTTCAGGATCCATGCAACGGCTTTGGGGTTTTGTTACTGCAATAAGTGTGGTTAAGATGGGCAGGAGGATGAGAAGTGAAGGAAAGGCCTTCGGGTTGGGGAGATGGTTATAGGTGGTTGGAGGGAATGCATGAAATAATTGGTGGATGTGTGTGTGTGTGTGTGGGGTGTGGGGGGGGTATATAGTCATACATGATAAATATCTATTAAAGTGGATAACAGGCATTTTAGAATTTAAATTTAAATTAAGAGTTGCACACTCACCACTTGTTGCATGATTTGTCCATTAGGACCCTGGACATGCACAACTTGACAGGGCTGTCCCTGCAAAGACATCATTTGTAACTGTTGACCTGGCAATTGGAATGCTTGCAGCTGTTGCCCTTGTAACTGTAGAACCTGGCCCAGTTGGTTTTGAAGCTGAAATTGCTGTGCCTGGCCCTGGAGCTGATGATTTTGTAGCTGAAGTGCTTGATGACCCTGAATTTGAATCTGCTGTCCATTTGGAAGCTGCATGATTTGACCATTAGGTCCTTGTAGTTGTATTGTTTGACCATTTTGAGTTTGAATTTGAATCGGTTGGCCATTTTGACCCTGAAGTTGGATTTGTTGAGCATTCTGTCCTTGAACTTGTATATGTTGTCCATGCTGCCCATGAATATGTATTGATTGGCCATTTTGACCTTGAAGCTGAATAGGCTGTCCAGACTGAGTCTGGAGTTGAATATGCTGACCATTCTGTCCTTGCAGCTGTATTGTCTGACCATTCTGCCCTTGCAGTTGTATTGTTTGACCATTCTGACCTTGAATCTGGAGAGTCTGACCATTCTGGCCCTGAATTTGTATAGGTTGACCTTGTTGATTATGAAGTTGTAGATGTTGTAAATGTTGTGGAAGTTGAATAGACTGCCCTTGTTGAGCTGAGATTTGTATATTTTGACCCTGTCCTTGGAGCTGAATAGTCTGACCTTGACCTAGCTGTTGTAGTAATTGTTGCTGGTTTATCAAAAACTGCCCTCCCTGGCCGAGTTGAAGCAGAGGTAACTGCTGTGGATAAAAAGGTTATTGAAAATTTGAAATTAGGACAGAAAAAGCAATTACTCTTTTTAAAATTGTATTGTGATGATCACTTGGGAGTCTAGAGAAAACATATCAGGGAATTGCCTCAAGCCTTTAAACCCCTAGTGCATGATTTCCTCATCAACACCAGTAACAGAAACATTGCAAATCCCATCTACATGCATAGGAGCCAAAATGATCAATAAATTGATCGTGGGCCCTTAAGATATAGAAGAAGAAGAATACAGTGAAACGTAGCCTTATGACTATAATTGTGATTTGGGGTCCATAAAATCAAATCACGTAAATAGCAGAGTCATGTTAATGTGGCTTTTTGCATCATGTTTACTTAAGTACTTATATGACCTCAAGTACCTGAGATGCCTACCGATATACACATACCATACTGTCTAACAAGAATCTTGATTCTGTGTGAATAACATGATTTTTTTTTTAAAGCAGGAAAAATGCCATTTGGCTAAAAAAAAAATATGAGCAAACTAAATACATGCACAATTTCATACCTTTTCAATTTACAGGATAATATATGAGAGAGTGCATTCAATATTCAAGCCATGAAAGTAAATAAATAGTGGAACAAAGTATGTATATGCCTGCAAATAAAAGACAAGACAATTAAGCTGACGTTTCAGCTAGATGCTTTCTTTAGTAGACAATACAATAAACAATAGATAAATTTAAATTAATAAATATAACTTATGTTTTTGATAATCTCAATAATGTCAATGTGTTCAATGCGCGGTGTTCAGAAAAAGAAATTCTCTGTGGTGTATTGTTAAAAACGGAAGTTGCGTTATTCAAAACCATAACGTGCAACCCACATTATTCTGTTGTGCGTACCATCACAGTAAAATAATTTAGGTTTTAATATTGTTAGATTTTTAACAGCAAAAATTGAGAATATAAATGGAGGAAAATAGAGGATCATTAGTAAGTAAGTATTTGACAATTTCCATATGGTGCAGAAAATCTGAATTAATTTGTTTTCATTCTTCACTCTTGTTTTTAGGACTTGCTTTCTAGAAACTAGACAAGTTGGCTTCCCCTAGGGGACCTTTACCATCAAAGAGGGTTTCACATGTTTTAGTTAAAATAGATCTATGTGATTGCTGAAGATGCCGTTTTTTTTATATAGGTGAGATAGGAATAAGGCTATCTGATAGTTCAGTGAACATCTTTGGGATAGTGAACAAAACAAGCCATCCTCAGTCTCATCACATTTCAACAGAGGGGAACACAAGGGCACATCAAATTTATCCACCACAGCTCTAATTTCTTGCACCAAAACACCAGCTAGTGTAGAATGAAAACTAATTAATTCAGATTTTCTTCACCATAATGGTGTTAATCAAAATTTACATTAAACAATATATAAATTAAATAATTGTGATAGTGGGCACCACAGAATAATTTGGGATGCTCGTTTTGGTTTAGAGCAAATCAACTCCCATTTCTAACAATAACAGAGCACTTCCTATTCTCAACATTGAGCTTCTTGACTTTATTGAGATCTTCAAAAACAAAATTTTTATTTTTTAATTTATAATGATCTGTTGTTTATTATATTGTCTTTTCTGCTGAAGAAGGTATCTAGCCGAAACATATGCTTAATAGTTTTTTATTTTCAAACCCAAACATAGCTTGTTCTGCTATTTATTTACTTTTCAAATAACATTGTTTACTTGCAACTGATTTCAGATACTATGACTATGCAAAGATAGAATAAAATTCAAATATGATCTCACCATACTTGATGAGGTGCATTATCAGGGGTTCGATTGTATAAATACTTCAAATTATGTATATATTTTCATAGAATCAAAGTGTTTCCGAAGATACATATTTTTAAGATATATGTTCCATATAGCTGGCTATTAAATATTATAAGCACCGAAAAAAGTTTTTTATTAACATTTCTCTGCTCAAAGTCAAGTAAACTTTTTATTCGCACCTGTCCTTGAAGCTGAATTTGTCCTTGCCCTTGTTGCAGCTGCTGAAGTGGAATTTGAAAGTTCTGTAAAGCATTTTGAGTCTGGACATATTGGCTCATAGCTTGATTGGAGGGGTCAAAATTCATAACAGATGTTTGCAAATCCATGGATGCAGCATTCGGGACTGCACATCCAAAAAGATTATAGTAAGCCGTTGATAACTGTGAGAAGAACCACTTATTAGTAATTGCCATAATAATAAAGGCCTAAATAATAATCCATAAAATAAATTATTGAAATAATATAAATAAAACTCATTCAGATAAATTTAGGGTAAAAGCAGGATAGATTTATCTGTGCAAGATTAAAATGAAACATTTATAAATGTAATAAATTCAATTTAATTTCATAAATGAAAATGGAACAATTCTTACACTGTTTTATTTCGGAGGCTTTATATCAAACTAAGCATTATCCCTAAATCAAGACACACACACACACAAAGTAAACATTAAAATAAATATTTACATTTACAAAAAACGTGATTTATCATAATTTATAATGGTGAGTTATTTGTATTTTTCTTTATAAATTTCACTCAAAATAAACAAGCTCTATGTCCAGTCTCCAAACATTTCAATAGCCCTAACCATGATGGTATCTCAGACATCGCAGTTACTGGTATACTGTATACTAGTTACACAAGAGATAGAATCTACATGGAGAATAAATTAATAACAAGATTTGGTGCGTTGTCTCCATATGGGATGAACCAAATCCACAATTTTACCTAGATGTCATGTCTCTTTCCTGTTTGGTTTTTACAATTTTGTTCAAATCTCTTCTTTCCTCTCTCCTTTACATAGTTTTTGTCCAAAAATTTGGTACCTCACAAGGTAGACTTGTTTCTAAGTGTATAAATATAGGCAGACCCTACTTACTTTTATGATGTATTTAAATTTAGTATTTATTTCTATGTACAAACTGATACAAATCAAGTAACTAGCCAGATTTGGTGTAACTAGAGACTCAGCAACAGAGTAGACTTCAGTAGAGGTTCCAAATTAACTTCACTCTTCTGCTCTTCTTATTCTTCAGTCCATGTATCTCTTCATTTCAGTCAATGTATTTGTAAATCTGTTACTGTTAGTTTTAACTTTAACTTTTATTTCACCATTTAGTTTAGAAAATAGCCCAACTATATATATTATATAAAAATAAATAAATAATTTTAATAATCTATCCTATGCCGACCTATGCAATGTTCATATTAGTCTAAGTCTAGTACTACTAGTAGTTTTGGTAATCAGTGGGCCATTATTAATAAAATTTGTTATGCCTATTCACTGTATTCAGATTCACATAGTCCTATAATATTTTAGGTTACAATCTATTCTATTCCCTTCGCCTTCAATGCCTTTAATAAAGGCTTTATACTATACATGCATTAACTTAGGCTTAGGCCAATGTAATTTTTTTATATTCATTTCAAAGCCAATGCTAAGGCCTAGAATACTATGTGTCTTGAGTAGACACATTTGTGTCTATTGCCTCAAGCCTTCAAACCCCTAGTGCATAATTTCCTCATCACCACCAGTAACAGAAACATTGCAAATCCCATCTACATGCATAGGAGCCAAAATGATCAATAAATTGATCTTGGGCCCTTAAGATATAGAAGAAGAAGAAACTAGATGGCCATTTAATTGAAATGTTTTAAATTTAAATCAACGAGAATGCCTTCAACTGCAATTGTTTTAAAATTTTAATACACTTCAAAAACGCTGTTAGTAGTTAGTGCTAGACTTGATTTGTTCGTCATAACACGAAACGGAAAAACTAGAAGAATGTCTGAAAGAAAGATTTCGTCTTAATACTTAATCATTGTTATGAATGAAATGAGAACACTAAGGGCAAGGGCTAAGAAGTTAAACCGCGAGTGTGGGCCTTCTCATATATCTTAAAGCCACCCATTTTTGCCCTGATAAAAATGACCATAAACTGTTCTTAAGATATTATTATGACTAACTAATAGTAATATATAAACAACACACGTGGGGCTAAATGAGTGACTATCACAATCTTACTGGTTGCCTAGAACAATCAAAAAGCCTTGAAAAAGCAGGGAGGTGCTTTGCGAATAGGTTCGAGGTCCGAGAATCGCACGGCCATTGCTGCTTGTAATCTGCATAAATTACTGCGCAAGCTTCGACCAACCAGCGAACAAAGAAACAACGCTAAAAATATGGTGGCAAACCAGGCGTCGGAGCTAGCAATAAACAAATCAAGAGATTTAAGTCTAAATGAGAGGATACGTTCTGTAGTCCTCAGATTTTACAGTAGCTATGATCTATAGTAAACATTTTAACCAACAATTATAATAATAAGGGCTATTTCTGGACTTACTTTAGGGTGTCTCAAACACTTTACAAGTGATTGGCTGTGGTTGTACACTGCGGCGAATCACGGAATGCTTGTTCAAAGAGGGAAATACTGTGCAAGCCCACTATTGGCTCTATTCTAACCTCTCATCGACTTAGCACTTAACACCAAGCAGCACTTAATATTTGGAGTCATCTACAATAATGCATGATTTGCAAACTAAAGCAAATACAATATAAACTCTTAAACATTTTTTAAATGTTTTAAAGCACCGCCCAGCATTGTCCACCCTTAAATATAGAAATAGTATATGTTTACCGGTCAATCCAATAGATTCAACAGCCACGCCGTGGCCAGCAGAGCAAGCCAAGAAGTTGTCAATAAAGCACACGTGACGCATGAAAGCAAAGCAGACGAGACGCGTCCCCAGCAAGGGTTACAAATAAATGTAACCGATCGATAGGAAAATGATGTGGTCGTGGGTGAGCACGCTATATGATTTAATAAAAGAAATATTTTGGCCATTCCTCTTAATATGTAATTATTTTATACCAGATTTAAAACATAAGAAATAACCCACTGAACTAGTACTCTGTTAAAATACCGTATATATTACTAAAGTAAATACGATGTCAATGAATCAACCTCTCCTATTCCCGTAGCCTTAGTAACATGAACACTTTTTCATGGGCTAAGTGCAGGCGGGGTCTTCGCTGTTCTTTTAATCGACGAGTATAAAGACGACTGATGAGTGTATTTTCTAGCTTTCTGGAGTTCTGAAACATGGAATGTATGGGGCATGGGCCTATAGACCTATATATATATTATAGGCCTATTATAATTTACAGGTCTATAATCTCAGACTCATTGAAGTCCTCTTTAATTTTAAATACATTTCTTCTAAAAGTAATTAAGTACCCAATCGAAGTCATAATAATAATTAATAATAAGTTATTGTTTAAATAAGGCATAAGCATCGTCTTAAATGTATTACTTAATGACACTGAGTTGGTGGAAGTATCTCTATAATTAAAAAGTCACCAGAGACTGGGAATCCATGTCCATTTTTATTTTTTATAGTAATTTATATCTCACTTGACTATGATTAGGCCTAGATAAGTTACAACATTTAGAACCCTTCTGTAGGCTACATCATCAAGTTCAAGCAGTCACCTCTCAGTTGCCAATCGATTAATGAATGTAAAATTTATAATATAATTCTCCTTTAACATGCATGGTTTGTAGATAAAGAATAGCCATTAAATTTTACAATAGGCCTATATAATATATATATTAAAAAACAACAAAGAAAATGTTATTTATTACATTTTTATTCTATGCGATTAATTTGTCTTTCCCCACCATCTCACAATGAAGGGCGCAAACAACAGCGGGCAGCTTGGACTTGGAAACCACGACGATCAGATAGTTCCATCGATCTGTGTCCCACTACCTGCTCTCGAAGAGTCTGATGACTTTAAGCAGGCGGGAGGAGGAGGGGGCTATTCTTATATTTTAACCAGTGAGCAGGGTTGTGTTTATTTCATGTTTTTACAATTCTTTCAATACAGAAGGATGAAACGTGTGCAAAACTTTACGCGCGCAAATGCCCCCCCCCCCCCCCCCAAATTTTTTAAGCAGGCGGGAGGAGGAGGGGGCTATTCTTTTATTTTAACCAGTGAGCAGGGTTGTGTTTATTTCATGTTTTTACAATTCTTTCAATACAGAAGGATGAAACGTGTGCAAAACTTTACGCGCGCAAATGCCCCCCCCCCCCTCCCAACATTTTTTTATGCACATGGCAGACTTGTTTACTCTTACGATTTTGGCGTAAAAATTACGATTTTGAGGTGTATACATTATATATACTGTATGTTTATATTTTACTAGTAAGATAATGTATTAAACAATTTTGTGATGATATTGTACGATTTGTATGCGAGTAAACAGGTCTGATATGGTCAATATGGTCTCCATTTACCTGTAAGCCTACACGAATTTCATTTTTATTTATATAAAACTATTTTTAATGTGAAGAGAGTCTAAATTCTTCAAAATTAATAAGTAAGATGCCAACCGCCGATATACTACGTACGTCCTTTTGTCCTTTTCGTTAGCCTTGACAAGAATAGACGTTTTATTTGCACATGATAGTGTCATTGGCCAATTTTGTTTGAAAATATAAATTATTGTAAGTAGCCTAATTATATAGGTTTTTATGGAGAGATCATAGTCATAGGATGGCATGTGTCTCTGTTCATCCGTCTTATTAAATATTCTTACATGAAGAAGAATTGACGATATATGAGATTAAGAGACACACACCTTACACTTTTCCACTATTACTATTATTAGTATTATTGATTTCAGTTTCAGCTCTCTTCTAATTATTTTCTGAATCACTTTACTTTTGCTAGCCAGAAGGGTTAGAACGATAGAACTAACCTTTACCCCATCCACCAATTTTGATCTTGGAACATGTTAATGTTATTCCCAATGTCAACCCCCCCCCCCCCCCAACCCCCTTTCCTTTTTTTTTTCTCTTCAAAATATGGTCTGCCAAAAAATAAGAAATGTATAACACTTCGAAAAGAGAGCAACTGCTAGGCCTAGACTATATCAGTAGCGTAGATAGTGTTAGTGCCACCCCCTTCCACGAAAAATCCCCCTGCTATTGGCAGAAAATGCCACCCCTCATTGGCCCAAGGAATAAAGTATCACCCTGGGCGGACCGCACCCCTCTCTACGCCCCTAGCCTATAATTATGTTAATCCTAAATTTATTCAGACATGAGTTTAATATAAGTTTACTTCCTTTGGCCTCTACAGTTACAAGAAGCTAATATTTGGTGGCCATTAAGAGTCTACACATTTATTAGTAGTATGGCCACGGCGAACTGCTGCATGAGCAACATTGGACTGATGCCCCGTGGGTAGTGCTGCTGCACATGCATTTTCAATTGTTTGTCTCCAAGAGCCGTCACTGTCTTAGGTTTTCTACCATGTAGCCTAGTCATATACGACATCTTTTAGTGTTCCCCATTGGTATACTGAAAGATGGGAAACTAAATAGCACCTCTTTGGACTTCAACGACATCCTCAAATTGAAAATACCACTTTAGAATGATTTTATCGTTCGTCCATATATTACGTCACACTCGGGCGGGGGGGGGGGGGGGTGGAAGAGGTCTAAGGAAGTGTGGCAGTTTGTGGCACATGGGGGAGGGGTTAGACAATATGTGATGCCATAATTTTATATTTTTATCATATATATATAAACGCTGAAATTGACAGTGATGTTTAACCTTCTGTTGTGCTTGATGTAATCTGACAGAAGATGCCCTTTAGTAGTGTCTAATTTTATTTTAATAGTATTAATAGTGAAGTGTATTTTAGATTGAATTCTAATTTTTAAAACAAAACTTTTTTTTTTTGTAAGTGTGACGTAGTTTACGGGGGTGGGGGGGGGGTTGGTGTTAGATTTATGACTGAAAAAAAGGAGGGGAGGGTAAAAAAATAAAAAATATAGAGCATAATGTCAATAATGTACTGTATGATAAAACAAAACTTTTTTTTTTTGTAAGTGTGACGTAGTTTACGGGGGTGGGGGGGGGGTTGGTGTTAGATTTATGACTGAAAAAAAGGAGGGGAGGGGAAAAAAATAAAAAATATAGAGCATAATGTCAATAATGTACTGTATGGACTGCTCCTTATGCTACTCAAAAGGGGACTGTAGTATGTAACTCCGCCAATTTGTAACTGAAAGCACCGTTGAGTGTTTGCGTCACTTGTTGGTATTACCGCCATGAAGGCTGTTTTCATAAAATAAAATTTGAAGGTCCAAATTAATCTCATGATGTATGAATAAATATAGAACTATAAGTTTTTTTTTATTTTCCTAAATTGTGTATAGGCTATATTTTTGGAGGACTTTGTATATAATTATCATAAGCTATAAAGTGAAAATAAATTACTGCCATGTAACTTAGAATATAATGATAAATATCATATAACCTATATATATATATATATATATATATATATATATATATATATATATATATACTTAATAGATGTATGCTTTTTAAAAATACTATAAAAAAGGTACATTGGCTTGGCTGCCACTTTCTCTCCCCCCCCCCCTCCATAATTGTTTTAAATTAAATAAATATTAGCCAATAAAAATATATATATATATTTGTTTAAATGTACAATTTGGGAAATGTTCTGGCTTCTATGGTCTGGCAATTCCTATATCAAGAATGTTATGTTGGTAACCAGTGATGTGATGTCTTCCCCGCGCCCCGCCCCTTTTCAAAAAAAAAAAAAATGAGGAATGACAGGTTTAATTCAACAAGTAAATTATTACGATTTTTTGTTGGTTTAATCTTAAGACCGCTATGTATCACAGAATCTGGTAAAGTCTTGACATGTGGTAACAATGACAGAGGCCAACTAGGCCATGGAGACAAACACAGTTTAATGGTGTTCTCACTAAGTCAACGTTTGACAGCATTTAAGATGGTTCAAATTGCTGCTGGGTGGGACTTCATGCTTGGATTAACAGGTAGGCTATGATTAAACAATATTTTACTTTAAGTATATAGGTTTATTGAAAAGTAACTGATATGCAACATTAAATGCACAATAATAAATAAATGGAATGTCTAAATAACATTTTAGAAAATTGATGATGATAAGTTGTTGAGATATTATCATAGATTAATGTCAGAAACTTTAACTGTTTGATGATGATTTAGAAGATATCTCTATTATGATTTTTAAAATTTAAATATAAATAATTATCAGGTTCTAAAGTTTTTTCAATTTCAAATAATATGTTTTTCTTGTTTTGTATTGTCTGCTGAAGAAAGCATTTAGCTGAAATGTCTTTTTAATTGTTCTATCTTTTTTTTTTTTTCAAGCCTAAACATATCTTTTTTCACTTTATATTTACTTCAAATGGCTTGTCCTTGTTCTAAAGCAATGTTTCTCAACCTTTTTAGTGCCATGTCCCCTTGATAATTTGCCAAATTGTAGCAAACGTACAACCAGTATTATTCCTAGAAATTGAGAAATGAGTGTTGAGAAGTTAATTGGAATGATGGGTGGGGGTAATAGCATTAATTGATTTATCACTATTTATAATTTATATATTTTAAAAAATTATCATGCATTTATTTTCATAAATTTAACTTATCAAAGAATAATCATTTCACAAAAAAGCCAAATTTGGAACTTTTTAGTGCCATGTCCCTTTGATAATTTGACAAGTTGTAGCAAACACACAACCAGGATTATTCCTAGAAATTGAGAAATGACTGTTGAGAAGTCAATTGGAATGGTTATAGTAAGACTATGTAGTGAATTATGAGTGTTGAATTTGTATTTGTTGGTAGGGGTGAGTAATAGCTATAAGTGAATTATCACTATTTATAATTTATATATTTTAATAATAATTATCATGCATTTATTTTCATAAATTTAACTTATCAAAGCATAATCATTTCATGAAAAAGCCAAAGTTGGGCAATTTTTAAACAAATTTCTTTTTGGTATTTGTTTTTAAAAGTCCAAAAGAATTAAATCGCGGGGGTGGGGAGAAATTAATACATCAACATGATGTAGGTATTATAAAAAATAAATAAAACTTTAATTTTAAATTAAGTTAGCTGCTGTCATCTGCCAAATAATTCATAGTTGTTATTTTTTTATTATTTTTTTTTTATTCATTTAGGCATTTTTATATAGCGCTTACCTTAAAGCTCTAAGCGCTTTACAATTATTAAAAACATGTAAACTAAGTAAAATAAAAATGAGACATTTTATGTGTAGTGTGGTCACGGTGTAGTAATAATAAGAAACAAGTCAAATCTCTGTAAATAATAATTAATTTTTGAAATAAGATGTGATACAAATAAGATAACATTTAAAAAAAAAAAACTCGAATCTCCAAAGTTTTCAAGCCTCCCCTGGCATATTGTAAGGGCAACCAAGAGGGGTGTCACAACCCACAGGATAAGAACCACTGTTTTAAAATAATGAGTTACAGTACTTATAGATCATTAAAATAACTTTTTCAACAGATGGTGGGCAGCTTTTGTCCTGGGGATCAAATAGCTTTGGACAACTGGGACGACTTGCAGCAGAATCAAGTAATGAATTGGTGCCAGTAAGTTTAGTGATGAGACATTTCTTAATTTTTAACAATTGTACTTATGCATTATTAAAAAAAATGCATTAAAAAAATTTTATTATGAAATCGAATTTAAAAAACTGAATGTTAACAACATGAACTTTTATTCTAAGTAAAGTAACCCAAATTTAATGTATTTACATCCAATTTTGTAGCTTTTAAGCCCAAATTTATTCTTCATCACTTACTCATATACTGTGGCTTCAAGGAATGGCAAAATAATCTAAATCTGATGGTGCCTAGGAGGAGCCACAGAAAGAGAGGGTCTGTGTCTGCTCCACAATTAAAATATTTTATGGAATGTTGAAGGGGGGAGGGGTCTAAAAAAATATTTTCACTTTCCACCCTAACAGAACATAGAGGGGATGTAGCTAAGAAGATCTTAGTTTTCCACTCTAACATAAAATGGAGGCAAACACATGCTACTTTTAAAGGCTGAGATGTGCTCTTTTTTATAGCTGATGAATTGAATGAAAAAATAAAATGAACTCTGTATTTTGTAATCACTGACAAGAGATTATTTGTGTGACTTAACAGAAGGACTCACCATCATCTCAGAAAACGTTTTTTGAGGGATTCTCTTCTTCCCAGCACCATTCTTTCTCTATCCATCCCTCTCTGGAAGCTTAGCAATTGAAAATCCACCAACATAAATGTACCTTTTTACATTGTTATTTGATTTTTTTATAGCCCATTCTTTGTTATATAAATGGTAGTGAATATGCATAACAACAACTGAAAATGAACATTTTTACAATACAAGGCCTGCAATTAATAACTCAGGGCTACACATTTTACTTCAGGATCTCTGCTAAAAATTATCTAAAACCTAATTGAGTATGTATGATGTCACTTTTCCGATAATGAATTAGTGATCTTACATGAGAGTTAACCATCATTTGCTAAACAATTATTATGAAACGGGGGTGCATAAATTTATTTTTATATACCGCTATACACCGGTATTGTTGACAAAAAGTTCCTATTTATTAAAAAAAAATTGTAATTTACAAAAAGAAAATCTGTCTGTTTTCAAAAATATTTTTTGTTATTTGATAGGAAACTTAGTTCTAAATGTATAATTATTGAATGATGTTGAGGCATAAATACCTAGCCCCATACAAGTGTAGACATGGTATTTTATTTTCAAACAAAATTTTGATTGCCATTTATTCTCAGGGTGAAGTTAGTGGATTTAAAGACAGCAAAATTGTAGCTGTTGCAGCCGGATTGCGGCATGCTATTTCTCTTACAGGTAAGGGTTTGATAGAACAAAATTATTTAAAAACTTTATCATGGCTGCCTTCATAATTTTACAGACAGGCCTTAACAATGTGACCTAAAATGATTGGTCCTTAAAAGTTAAGTCCTCGAGACCTTTCTGGTGTCAGTAAAAAAAGACCTTGCACACAAATATTTTTTTAGAGAAACAAAACAGAAAATCTCTGAATTTGTGATTTAATCTTGCTTGCTGTGAACAGATTTATATTTTTAAAAAAAATTAGCTTCATATTTTCAATCAACAAGTTTTTTTAAAAGTGTGTCCGTAAAAACTTTTTGTTAGTTTGTAACTATTGTGAAGAATTAATTTATATGTCCGATAATTTTATTCAGTGGGCAACCTTGAACTGAAAGCATTTGAACTTAGATATTTACAATTCTTAACATAAACCTACCCATATATAGAAGAATTCAATGTCTGATATATTTCACAAATATATTGCCTGAGAAACATTGGATATTTATTCTTGTCCACCCTGTGGCAAACCCAGGTGGGAGTCAAGAAGGTGGCACTCTTTTAAATTCCATTATTAAAATTATACCAACATTATATAACAGATGTGGGGTGGGGGGACACAAGTCTGGGATTTTGTCCCAGGCAGCACTTAGTCTAGGTACACCACCGTGTCCACCAAAGCCCATTAATTACCAATGCAATTAAGGATTTTTAAAGATTTCTAACTCTTCATTTTTATACTTCAAACAATTTCACACAGCCTAATTCCAAGTTCATTTATAACTTATACCAACAGAAGTAAATGGTTTATTGGTGAACAACATTATCATTGATTCATGATTTGAAAAACTGACAAATATCAATAGAAGTGAAAGTTTATTGATGGATAATATAATTTTTATAAATTGTGATGCAAATTCTTGCAGAATCTGGCCAAGTTTACACATGGGGAAATGGTAGGAAAGGCCAGTTGGGCTGTGTAGAAGCTGATGGAAACCCTTTGCAAAAGACACAGAATCCAATATTAGGTCAGTTGTATTTTTTTTGGTTTATTATATACCATTACTGAATCTGTCAATTAACAACAGTAAGCTTCTAATTTTCCTTAATTTTATTATATTTTAATTGGTGGATCACCCATTTTCCATCACGTATCTGCTTTGCTATCCATGCTATCTCATTACATTGGCACTACGGTTGCATAGGCATAGTTTATTAATATTATTACCTCATGCAATGAACCATTGCACTTCACAAAATAAGAAATATTTTATATAAAATTTTTAAAAGAAACAGTAACCAACAAAAAAATAAGATGAAACTGAAACATTTCACGAATAACTAATGTTGAATTTGAATAGAAAACAATTTTCACTACACTACTTCAGAGAATCAAAAAGAAGCACACAATTTAGCAATGTTATTATTTTTTTTTTAATTGCGTTTATATTTTTGGAAGATACAAGTTCATACATTTTGCATTTTGTCAACATTCAGGTGACAATGCTACCTCAATCTAGGACTAGATTTTCTTTGATGCATTGGCATGTAGTCATATAGAATGCCTTTAATTGATCAATTATTATTACATTTTGGTAAACAGGTGGTACTTGAATTACGAAGGACTTCTGTTACTTGAGGTTACTTATTTTGAAAGATTTTGTTTCATTTAAAATTAGGCATCAAACCCCCTAAATGTTTACCTTTTCGCAAATATAATATCATCCTATATGTTAGTTGTAATTTTTACATATAAAAAAGGATTGTATTAAATATAGAATATGAATATTTTATCATAAAAATATGCTAAGAACATGTTATAAAGTTGAAAATATACTAAGATAAAACAAGATTCAAATAGATTTCCTACACTCCCATGCGACAGTACAGTACTTAGTATTGGTGTTTTATTTAAAATATCATTTATTTTATTAACAATTCTTTCTAAAAATATTAAAATTGTGATATTTTTTATAATTTATAGTATAACAAATGTTTGTAGATCAAAAACTGCCTATGGTGGTACTATGTATTTTTTTCTTCTTATATTTTCTTTTAGTTCAATTTCCTCAGAGAGAAATAGTGGTCTGTGTAACTGCAGGCATGTATCATTCAGGAATTTCTACAGGTCAGTTTATTCCTTGGGTTGCTGTAAAAGCAAGGCACGATAACAAAGCATCACAAGCAACCCATTAGGGAAAACTTATAGTTATACCATAGTAAATTAAACATTTAAAGTTCTGTCACCAGATAAATAATCTCCAAGAAAATTTTTAGTGCCGGTATCTGAGCTAATTAAAATTAAAACTAAAGAGAGATTTAAAACTTTTCACAAAAAAGGACAATGTCAAAAAAATTTCAGATGCTGGCAATATTCATGTATGGGGTTGCAACAAATATGGCCAATGCTCAGCAGATCCTAAAGATTCATCAGTTTTTTTAAATCCTCATGTGGTATTTCTTCCTGTGAAAGAACAAGCAGAGGGCAGTAAAATTGTTGCACTGACCAGTGGATGGACTCACTTGATTGCCAGAACAGGTTTTAGAACTATACAAATTTGATTGGATTCAGTTCACATTTTAATTTGACTTCAATTTTAGATTTAATGCTTAAAATGTTTTTATAGACAGCAAGAATGTAGATTAGAAAGTAAGTAATGGCATGTTTTGTCTGTTCTTAAGAAAATTTCTGTGATGAAATGGTAAGCATGGTGATGAAAATGGACTGTTTAACCAATGTTAATCATATCCATTCAATAAGTGCAAATATTCTCTGTTTATTTTGCCAGCGTCTGGTGATCTTTACAGTTGGGGAAGAGGCGATCTGGGCCAGTTGGGTAGGAAGTGTGAGCAGTCATATGATTATAAGCCAAAACAAATTGTAGGACTCCATCATGTTAAGTCCCAATTTTGTGGCTCAGAGCATAACTTAGCTCTTACAGGTAAATGAAAATATGAAATAATAAATGGTCTGTCTTAACTTTTTGAATACTTCGTGATCATGTCACATCAATAAATTTAATTTATCTTTGGTCGCTTAATAATTCCTGTAGCTTAGTGACAACTTAGTGTAACATTATTCAATATTTATGACGCCATACATTCATACATTAAAAAATGATTTTGACGAATAGTTGATTTCTTTAATTTGAAAAGCTGGTTTTCAGTTATTTGGAATTTCAGAAAAAAAAACTTTAGCCAAATGTATCAATGATGAAAAAAGAACATTCAGCTTTAAATTCCTTTTTGATTTCAGATGATAACAATGTGTACTCATGGGGCTGGAATGAACATGGTATCTGTGGTACAGGAGATGAACAAAATGTGATGTATCCTACTAAGGTTCCTGCATTTATAGCATGCTCTGTTGTGGCCATTGGTTGTGGAACAGGACATTCCTTTTGCTATGCAAAGGACACACATTAAAATGAGTCATCAGGACCACCATTACCAACTGTGATAACGTGAAATATTTTAAAACAGATTCAAACCCAGTGGTCTCAAAGTGTCATGAGGTCAAGTGCTAGAATGTTTCATAGAAGACTACTGCGCAGAAACCACTCATACATTTTCAGTTTGATCTTACCACAAAGTTGAAAGTGTAATAAAATGTAAAAAATACTTTGCTTTTAAATATATTTCATCTTTTTAAGTTACATTATGTATGTATGTATGTATGGCATCTTTCTGTCTGCGGGAGACGATAGATTATCTTTATTGCTTGCAGCTCTTGGTGTGGCTGGTGAGACCAATCTTCGAATGGCAGTCTCTGTTACATTTCCCACACACGAATGCGGTGGAGCAGTATTTACCGGCCTTCCTCCTCGCTCTTTTTGCAGCTGTTTCCGCCCTGTTTTGTTTTTCGGCATGTAGTGATCCTGCCTTCACGATACCCCGCCATGAGGATCGATCCTGTGCCAGCACCTCCCAGTTTGAGATGTCGATGTTGGCCGACTTCATGTCTCTTTTGCATATGTCTAAGTATCTCAGACGAGGCCGTCCAACTGACCTTTTCCCTGTCGCCAGCTCGCTGTATAGCACGTCCTTTGGTATGCAACCAGATTGCATTCGCTTGTCGTGCCTTGCTTTTACAGAAACCCAAGGAATAAACTGACCTGTAGAAGTTCCTGAAAAAAGGACGTAGTAAAACAACGAATGTGTCTGCAAGATTCTTGTAAACAGTAAAAACATTACAAAATAAAAAAAGTTACATTATAACCCTTATTAATTGGCAATGATGCTTTAATAAAGAACTACCATTTGACATATAACTTATAAGATAACTTTTTAACCCATGAAAATCTTTTCAAAAGTCGGGGGTCTTCTTATAAGCCGGATGTCGTCTTAAAAGCTGGTATACCCACTTGGCCAGAAATAGAAAAACATGTAGCAGACTTGGTGAATGAGTATCTCCAAAATGGTTATGTAGTGACATGAAATAAAATACATTTGTTTGCACTTCAGTTGGCCAAATCTAGCCCAGCTCACAGCAACAGATTTAAGGCCAATGTATCCTGGTGTAGTAGATTCTTGGAAAGGCATAATCTGGTACTGAGGCAAAAGATGAAAATAGCACAAAAATTACCAGCAGATCTTGATGCCAAAGTAAATAGTTGCCATGGATACGTAATACAACAGCGCAATAAACATGGCTATGGGTTAAGTAGTATCTGAAATATGGATGAAACTCCAATGAATTTTGATATGGTTGGAAATTAAACTGTCCAACCAAACGGTGAAAAAACTATTTTAATTAAAACAACGGGACATGAGAAGTCCAGTTATACAGTGATACTAGCATGCACAGCAGATGGCACCAAACAGACCAATGTTTATTTTTTAAAGGAAAAACAATATCGAAACTCAAGTTCGCTGTTGGTTGTTTTGTGCATGTGAATGAAAAAGGCTGGATGGATGAAGAAGGGGTAAAGCTATGGCTTCATAATGTATGGCACAAAATTACCATATGGTAAAGAAATAAAATCTGATGTTTTTTAATTTTTATTTGCTGTGCATTGGAAGAGAGGTAGCCTTATACTGCAAGTATAACCCTATGTTTTAACAGGAAAAGTAGGGGGTCATCATATACTAAGTTATATGCCGGAAAATATGTAAGTCTAAATACTTTCTCAATTTCTTAAATCTTAGACTATGGCGCCTATGCCAGTCAGATTAAGACTTTTTAGATAGTGCAAATGGAATGATGGTCTTCTTCTGCTCTAAATCTTATCCTGAGACTACCCTTGTTTTGGCACACATTTGGGTCAGCACAATCACACATAATGAGGCTTTCAAATCTCCTTTAAGAAGAAATGAGAGTCAAACTTAACTCATTCTTACCTAAAAGGAAATGAGTGAAGATGGGAAAACCTGAAAAAAGGACGTAGTAAAACAACGAACGTGTCTGCAAGATTCTTGTCAACAGTAAAAACATTACAAAATAAAAACTTTGCTGCTATGTATAATAATTTATATATAATTTACCAAAGCCAGCAGTTCTCAACCTGTGGGTCTCGACCCCTTTGGGGGTCGCGCAACCCTTTCACTGGGGTCACCTAAGACCATTGGAAAACACACATCTCCATACCGATGGTCTTAGAATTAAAAACCTATTCATTTTGTCTGACTAAAAACCCAGACATGTCACAAATTTTCATTATGATTGAAGACGAATTTGTTACGAAAGTGAGTGAAATTTCTTTATCTAAAGACATTGTCTGCAGAACAATAGATGACATGTTGGTATTCTTGGTCATGTAATCCAGGAAATTAAATCTGCTCCACTTCTAATATTTAGTATCCAGCTTGATGAATTTACAGACGTTGCAAACTGATTAGTTACTAGTTTACGTGAGGTATATTAATGACGGCGACTTTAAAGATGAGTTTCTATTTTGCAAACATCTTGAAATGACAACTAATGCACATGATGTATTTGACTCAGTAGGAATATTTCTGAAAGATCTTAAGATCTCTTGGGAAAAGGTTTTTATGTGTTTGCCCATATGGTGCTACAGCTAAGCTAGGATGTCTTATAATAAGATCTCTTGGGAAAAGGTTTTTGGTGTTTGCCCATATGGTGCTAAAGCTATGCTAGGATGTTATCATAAGATCTCTTTGGAAAAGGTTTTTGGTGTTTACCCATATGGTGCTAAAGCTATGCTAGGATTTTATCATAAGATCTCTTGGGAAAAGGTTTTTGGTGTTTGCCCATATGGTGCTAAAGCTATGCTAGGATTTTATCATAAGATCTCTTGGGAAAAGGTTTTTGGTGTTTGCCCATATGGTGCTAAAGCTATGCTAGGATTTTATCATAAGATCTCTTGGGAAAAGGTTTTTGGTGTTTGCCCATATGGTGCTACAGCTATGCCCCGATGTCTTATCATAAGATCTCTTTGGAAAAGGTTTTTGGTGTTTGCCCATATGGTGCTACAGCTATGCCCCGATGTCTTATCATAAGATCTCTTGGGAAAAGGTTTTTATGTGTTTGCCCATATGGTGCTACAGCTAAGCTAGGATGTCTTATCATAAGATCTCTTGGGAAAAGGTTTTTGGTGTTTGCACAGATGGTGCTCCAGATATGCTTGAATGTTGATCTGGATTTCAAAGTTTGTTACTGAATGAGTCTCCAAAAGTCATCGTAACTCCCTGTATGATTCATGGGCAAATATTAGCAACAAAGACGCTGCCACAAGAGTTACAAGAAGTAATGAAATGTGTCATAAGTTCTGTCAATTTTGTAATGGCGAGCACTACAGTCAGTTGTTTTTGCAACTGCAACTAGTTGGATGCGCCAAACAATGCTCTGCTATTTCACAATGAAGTGAGATGATTGTCGAAAGGAAAAAATTTAAAAGGTATTTTTTTAGATTCTTGATGAACTCAAAACTTTTTTAAATCAGAAAGCAAGACCACAGTTCGAAGCCATTTTTAGTGATAAAAGTGAACTGCAGAAGATAGTTTATTTGGTTGAAATCTTTGCCATCTTGAATGAGTTAAATTTATCACTCCAAGGACCAAATGCAACAAACCTCGATTTGTCTGGAAAGATGCGATCATTAATTTTTAATTTTAGCTTTGGCAAAACAAATTGGATGAAAATAAAATTTACATGTTGCCTATCTTATCTGGTTTCTTTGAGGAACATGTCATTGAACCAGACAAAAGGATTACGATGATAAATTCTGTGAAGAAACACTTGCACTTGCTTGCAGATGAAATTTCATCGTACTTTCCAAATCTACCTGACACCCCAATTGCACTAGCTATAAGTCCATTCACAGTCAAAGATGTTCCTGATTCAACAAAAGAGGAGTTCATTGAACTTATTAACAGCGATGCAGCGAGAACTGATTTCTCCACAATAAAATCCTGCATATCAGATATTTACATTATGATTCATAACAGAAGCAAAATTACAGTTTGAAGTAGCAACGAAAATAATTTTATGGTTGGGGGTCGCCATAACATGAACTGTATTAAGGGGTCGCGGCATTAGAAAGGTTGACCTAAGCTGATTGCAGTCTCTTCCACTTATTACCATTAATTCTTACCCACCACCCTCATAATGGGATTGCCCCAAAAATTCTTTTAAAAAATCTTCATATTCTCCCGGCTGAAACTGACCTTAACTGGGTATTCTTATCCCCTCCACATATTGTCTTTAGAAGGGATAAAAATCTGTGACCTTCTGGTTCAAAGTCACCTTTTAGCTGACCCTTCTGATGTTCAAGAGGCCGTTTGTAGGACTTGCCCTTATGCACTGGAAACTGAACACATTGGCATTCCTAAGGGAACCTTAACCATCAAAGAGGGCTCCACATGTATTAATTGAAATGCACTTGTTTGCCAAAGATGCCCATCTTGTTATATAGATGAGACTGGAAGAATGCTGTCTAAGTTAAGCAAACATCTCTGTGATATTAACAAAACAAACCATAACCGGTCTCATCACATTTCAACGGAGGTGAACACATGGGCATATCAGAGGTATCCATCACGGCTCTAATTTCTTGCACCAATACACCAGACAGAGTGAAAACAAATTAATTCAGATTTTCGGCATCATATCTCAAAGGAATCAATCACTCTTTTACTCTTGGTCCTCAATTTCTGTCAATTCTATTCTCATTTCTTGTTGTTTAAAATATTAAATTTCACATCAATAATCCTTAAATTCTTCTAACTTGTAGTATGCACTAGAGCAGGGCAGCACAACTCAAAATGTAAGGCGGGTTGTATTACTTTATGAAAACCTTGTGCGGGCCAAAAGATAATAAGACAGGACTTGTGAGGGCCAAAAGAAAATAGTACAGGGGGAAAAGCTATTAAGAAAATAATAAGAATAAAGAATATTTCTTTGCTTCGCAGCCTGCAAAGTGGGTGCTGGTGGGCTGCAGCCCATATGTTGTGCAGGCCTGCACTAGAGGATTTATTTGTGACACAAGTTTTGGTTTTGAACAACTTTACTGCCATTTCAAATAGAGCGTTTTTGCTCCTAAACAGAGTTGAAATTCACATTTCAAAACTCTTTTCAAAAGCATGGCATTAGGATTTTAAATTAAATGCTAATTATCAAGGATATGAAAATAAGTTCAATGTGAAAGAACAAAATCAGAGGTTATCCGGGTAAACTATACATATCTTAGAATTACAAAGATCCAGAAATGAAAATTTAAAAAATGTAGAGTTGTATTTGAAGCTTGCTAAATAATATAAATAGACACACATGTCAAGTTTTGTAACAAATGAAATTTATTATTTGTTTCTTTAATATATTCCTGTAGTACACATTTCTCCTGCTGCAACATGAATTCATAACAGAAAGCAGATGCATGGGATAATGGGTCATGCCACAATTATTATTAACAAATTCTCTCAGGCTCAGAGTGATGAGCTTTTCAATTAGTCTCTCACAAAATATGCGGAACATACTTTCAGTCTCATCTCTCATGGCCAGCAAGGAGTTTATTTAATTGTAAAAATTACATATGAAATATAACATCCATTAACACAGGGTAACTATTAGTAAAGCCATGAAAAATTGACACCATTTTCTCAGTTAAAGCAGAAATATTATAAGATCTTCAGTTACGGTACACTTGAATGTGTTTTATTTGTCCATGCTATAACTTTATTTTCCAAGTTCTCAGACGAAAGCTACCATTTACAAAGCCCATGTAACAAATCAACAATTAATTATAGTCCTTAATAAATATCAAAGCAACCTTTTTCTCTCTTCTATTTTTGCTACCAGATTATCTGCATCTTCCTCTGTTTTCACTCTAATTAGCATTGGAACTGGGGTATTGTCAGCGTCAGCTTTGGTATCAATTGGAGGGTTAGGGACACAAACCAACATGACATTGTTTTTGCCTTGTCTGCTAACTGGCATTGTTGAGCTCAGCATTATATTCAGTAGAATGTTACCTGCAAAAATATGAGATTGATAAAAATCAAATATTTATACTTTAGGTGCCCGAAAAGACCATTTTGTTTCCTGGTTCATCTAAAGTCATCATCGATGCATATGCTGAAGTTGGAAGCAGAATTTTAAAACTATTATATTTATTATTGACTCCTTGCATATTGTTTTCTAAAATACCCACTAAAGCAAAGGTATACAAAAAAAAAGTTAGAACGAACAGTGAATTAAAAAATGAATTACCAAATATATTCACAACAAATAATGTAAATAATATGCAAAGTATTTTTTTACACCACATTTAAATAGCAAAAAGTGCATATGCATATATATATTGACACATGCTTACCTAAGTTGGTATCAGCTCTCACAAGGAGTTGACTCTTTTCTTCACCCACAGGCTTCAGATGCAAATTTCCCACACCTCTATCCACCCACTTGCCTTCTTTTTGGTGGAATAGCTTGCATCTAGAAACATTATTTGTAAATGCTTATTTAAGTATGTACAACATACTTGTAACAAAATAAAAAATCAGTTCTAATGAATCAGATTTTTACAAATAATGCCACATTCTATTTTTAAAATATATCTATACAGATATTAAATAAAAAATTATGAGATATCGGTTTAATATTTCTTGTACCATTATTACAATTTAATTAAAAATCTTTAAGAGAAAGTTTGAATGGACTTCATTTTAAAAAATGACTAATTATTCTTGATGTGTCGTAAATATTAAACCATACCTGCAAACTTAAAAAACAAATTAATATAGTATTAATAAGGCCCAAGAGTAAGAAGTAGTGCTTTCTGCATTCCCATAATTTAAGAGGGAAGGTAAGTACTCATAACAAATTATGCCTCGATTTTAATGTCGGTGTAATAACTATAACTGATTCTGCTAATTTGTGTCCTAATGTTATTAATATTAATAAATACATTTTTAAATTAACTTTTACAGTAAGCATTTTGTTCATTTCTTTAATTTGTGAAAAGTTTTTACCTTATAGAAAAGAGTGCATCTTCTTCCAGAATTACTTTGACTTCTGGTTTTGGGGGAACATATTCTTCATCATCTAAAAAATAAAAATAATGTTAAATTACAATTGAAATTTTTTTGGTTAAAAATTTGTCTTAAGGGTCGTCCATTAATTATGTCAACAATTTTTAAGCAATTTTTACCCCTCCCCTTGTCAACGACAGTCAAACTTTTGATGACCCCCCCATTTTTTTGGTTAAAAATTTTTCTTAAGGGTCGTCCATTAATTATTTCAACAATTTTTAAGCAATTTTTACCCCTCCCCTTGTCAACGACAATCAAACTTTTGATGTCCCCCCCCCCCCTTTAATTAGTCAACATTTTCATATAATCCCCCCCCCCCTAAAAATAAATTATAATATAAATAAATTTATAAATACATTTTACTTTGTGCTGATCTATTTAAATGACACATAGAATTGTAGGGAAGTCATTTTGTTACATGTTTCGCTTGTTAACAAGTTAAAAAGTTTTTACACTTAAATTTTATAATGCAGAATCAATTAAAAGGTTGTTAAGGACTAAATATCATTTTTGTGGAATTATAAATATGATTGTCAGTATAGCTGCCAATTATAGTATAGTTTCTATCTGTTATCATTTTCCCATGGAGTAGCCAGGGGGCATTTGCTTCAAAATAATGTAAATACAAGTCAATTTTTAATATGAAAATTCTACTGGAAAAAACATGATTGTTGACGTCAACTAATCTTAAACCCCAACACCCCCCCCCCTGTTTCAAACATTTCCAGACCCCCTCCCCCGCTATTTTGTTGTTTGTTGTGTGGCGTAATTAATATATGCCCCCTTACGTCTTCACATTCAGGGTTCAAAATAAAATGTTTAAACTTAGGAGGCATGTTACTAAAGATGAAAGAAAATTACTCTTATGAGCTCATTTTAATTGAAAGCTCTATGATGTGTGCTGTTTGATTAATAAAAAAATATTTAAGTACCAGTAAAAAGTAAACCACAAACAAAAAAAAGATAAACTAAGACAGCTCACTGACAGCTAAATACAACTAATTAATTTTTGCTTTAGATCTAATGAAATAGTCAGCTTTCTACTAAATCAGCATCATGATAAGTCAAGATAAATGAACAAGTATAAAATATAGTTAAGTCCAACTTCTTAGATAAGGCTGTGATGCCTACAGCCCCATAAATCTTATAATAAAGAAGGCTGTGATGCTAATTAAATCCAAATGAAATGACTAACCTTTTGCATCAGTGTCTTGTGAAGTACCCGCTCCTTGGGAACTTGTGGCTGCTGCTAATGAAAACCCCCCACTTTGGGAGGAGAAGGTTGAGCCAAACGAAAATGCAGGTTTTGAGCCAGAAATTGTAGACGTTTCTGAACTCTGACCAAATTTAAATGCTGTATCAGACTGAGGAGTTGTGGAGAATTTTATTTGGCCAATAGCTAGAGATAGAAGGAAAATTACTCTTATGAGCTCATTTTAATTGAAAAGCTCTCTCATGTGTGCTGTATGATTAATAAAGCAATAGTTAAATACCAATAAAAAGGAAACCACTAAAAAAAAAATATACAGTCAGCTGTCTTATAAATCAGCATCATGATAAGTCAAGATAAATGAACAAGTATAAAATATAGTTAAGTCCAACCTCTTACATAAGGCTGTGATGCTAATTAAATCCAAATGAAATGACCAACCTTTTGCATCAGTGTCTTGTGAAGTACCAGCTCCTAGGGAACTTGTGGCTGCTGCTAATGAAAACCCCCCACTTTGGGAGGAGAAGGTTGAGCCAAACGAAGCAGGTTTTGAACCAGAACTTGTAGCCGTTTCAGAACTCTGACCAAATTTAAATGCTGTATCAGACTGAGGGGTTGTGGAGAATTTTATTTGGCCAATAGCTGAAAATTGAAAAAAAAAGTGCTTTTATATTTTTTCTATGCTCATAATTTAACAGTAAAAGCAAGCAGAATAGTTTAAAACTTCCTGATTGAGTGGGGTTTTACTTTATTGCTAAACTTCATTACTTATGGATTTTTAAAAATCCCTTAAGCACAAGATGTAAAAGATCTTAAGAGAAGTGAGGAAACTAGTTTATCTTAGCACTTAATCGATTCTATGTCACAATTTTCTATGAATCCACTCCCTGAAACATTGAAAACTGAAGACTGCAGGTGAATTACTGTTGATAATTGTTTTATTTTTGCCACAGATGTTGTAAATTGTAAAATCTTAATTATCTATTAATTTCTAGTATGTAGTAATTTCTATTACTACAATCTTGAGTAACCGGAGAGCCAAACAAGATACCATTTAACATCATTATAACTAAATATATTACACCTACCAGCAGTACTGTTAGAAGGTTCGAAGGCAAAGCCTTTTGTTGAAGAAGATTCTGATGTAGCCTGACCAAAAGTAAACTTGGATTTATCTTCAGCAGTTGGCTTAGTGGCTGAACTAGCATTTGAATTAGTTATAGCTTTGTTACAATTGTCATTATTTTTTGCCTCCCGACTTGCATCTTTCTTGCTACTGCTTACAACAGATGTATCTGGTTGAACGGTTGCAAGGTAAGTTTCATAGTCTTTAAATATGGGTGTGAGGATGATGTAAGGATTGTCATCCACATGTTTTTTAATCCAAGCCAGGACACTTTCATTCAGACTTTTAAGGAAATTGAGATATGATGACGTCTCTTTAGTGTCCCCCTGACCCTTAAATGTTAGGTCTTCAGTTCCATTGAAAGATGATGCTCCACCTAATGAAATAGGTTTGACACCAAAACCAGATTTACCATCCAAATTTTTGAAACCTGAGAAAGGCTCTAGAGGTTTGGATTGTGCTGGTTTCCCAAGGCCTGAAAATCCAGTAAAGGCTGCAGTTTTTGAGCTCTGATGGCATAGAGAAGGTGTAATTTATGTTAGTTATAGGTGAGAGGTAATAACTGGTATACAAAAAAATTTCGATAAGATAAATGTTAAGTGGATATTAAACACCATCAAATTTACAAAAGCATTGGATAACAAAGGATCTTAAAGGGATATCAAACGAATTTAAAATTCCCATTTTATAATTTTTTTTAAACAAATGATCTCAAATGTTTTATAAATTATTTGATGAACTATCAATGCTGATATGGGTTGTAGTGTTGTCATGGTGAAATTAGTTGGCATGGCATGATATGCGCAAACCAATGAGGTCATTTACAATTTTATTTGTCTCTCAATGCCAGATTATAAAAGAGAAAAAAAGACAAATGAAAGCACTATTTTCACAACAAACAAAAAAAAGGGTAGCAGATAAACAAACTCAAGAACAGGGGTTCTGAACATATTTGCAGTGACGCAACCCCTATTGATTTCCAAACATTTTCAGTCCCGTCCCCCCCCTCCCAGATATAAATCATACCTGTATCCAAACTGCAAATGACAGAGGAGAGTCAATAATTAATAATTGATTGTAATCTACCGTTTTCTGCACCTTCATGTTATCCTTGAAAAATATATTCAAAATAATCAGGCAGATTCAACACCTAGTCTATACTTACTTTTTAAATAGTGAAAAATATAATGATCCCCCCCTCGTGTTATAAAAAAGGTATTTTTGTTGTGTTTTTCAGTTTTTTGCTTAGACTTTGTTCCTTTCAAAAATGTTGGTGTCTTCTCACACCCCTTGACACTTTCTACTCTATCCCTGAACAATTCTGAAGTTTGAATAATGTTGAAGAAAAAAAACTTACAGGTCCTTCATCTGTAAGCACCCTTCGTTTAGCTTTCTTCATGACCCTATGTTGTAAAACATCTTCAGGGGCCTTTTCAAAAACTCCTGCCTGCAAAACAAAAATTGGAAAATAATCAATATTAGCATAAGTAGGCATATTCAACTAAGTATAAAAATTAGCCAATGTAGGCATGTAGTTATATTTAACCAAAAGAATAAAAATGTAAATATATATTTTCATAAAAGGTTTTTAAAAATTCAAATTAAAAAACAAACAATGATTTCCACTTGGACATTGAACAGTTAGAGATCTAGTCAAAATAACAGATTGTATTTCTAGAATTAGGTTGAACAAAATGACAACAAAAAAAACAAACCTCTTCTGGCTCTACTTCATCATTCCAATTTCTGTCATTTAATTCTGAATCTGCCCCTCGTTTAGCCATGGCTTGATTATACTTTGATAAAATATTAAAATGGTTAAACTTCAAGTCCCAAAAGGATTAATAACAATTATTAGACATAATAAGCCTTTTTTTAAAAACAGACAAAAATAATACATTTATATATTTTAAACTTTAAAGTAGGCTGATGTCTTTAGGCTAACATTTAGATTTCAGCACAAAATGGGAACCAATGTAGTGTAAAGAAACTTGCACAGGATCCAAGACAGCTGCTGGAACAACAGGACACTGTACCAAACTCAAACTACATGACTGCTGATAAGAAACGACAGACAGACCCTGGACCTTCCAGTGAAAGCAGAGAATGTACTACTGTCACAGAGGATAGATGGAGGCAACATTTTGCAAGGCTCTTGTCTTAAACTCCCCCAAACCCCAAGAAGCACTCCAAACATTTCTAGAGTGAAGAGAAACTTAAAAGTTTTAAATTTATTTAGACTTAGTAGGCCTATTTGTTTTAGAATGAGGGGGTCACATACTATATACAGTAGGCCTATGCCATACATGCCAATCTGTACAGTTTACCCATAACTTGTACCCGTTTTAAACGTAAGGCCATACAGGATTCTGTAAGGTTTTTCAATGGATTTAGAAAAGAAATATTTTGCACACGACATGTTGAAAATCATGACTGATGACTGGCAATGGAATAAAATCCAAATTGGTCAAAATGAAGCTAAAATCCTCTTGGTCTGTTCAAAATGACCTTTGGTCAAAATTCTGAGATTGGTAGGCTATCTAATTTAGACACTGTGAACGTTTTCATTGAGACGATTTGTTTATGCTATTGCCGTTCTGTAGTAACTAGAACCACAACCACTAGAGTAGTAAACCATGATTACAAATTAGTTTGTGTAATTCTTATTATAACTCCTAAATGAACACTTAATGTCCACATAGCCTCTATGTTAATAAATATAAATAATTATATACATGACTATTCCATTATGGTGAAAAATAAGGCTATATTATAAAAGAAGTGTCTACACGTCCGGCACGGCGGACAAATAGTGCGCGAGATATACGTCCGGCAGCATGTCAAATGTCCGCCGAACGGCTAGTAGTTGTTATTATTCCGAACGAAGTGTAATTCGGTAGATCTTGTGTGGTCTTGTGGTAGAGTGGTCGCTTGACATTATTATGATGAGGATCAATACTGGGTATAGGATAATTTTTTTTTCCCCATTTTAATTAAAAATATTTTATACTATATTTATATTATCATGTTCATCAGCAACAGTAGTTTCATGAGAATTTTTAAAATATTTTGTAGCAATTTAAACAATTAAAATGAAATCTTTTACTTTTATTGGTTGCCTACTCCATATGAATATGGGTCCCTAATTTATTTCATGGATTACTGGTACACAAACTCAAATAACAAACTAAATAAAATGTTTACAAGCCACTTTCACTTAAGTTTTTTTCTATTATTTGTATTCAAGATACTCAGTACATTACTTGGTAGAGAAATATATTTTAAAATTAACAATAGTTTTGAATCATTCGCTGTCACGTGACAAGGCTGACCGACATGTGACTTGGTCGCCAGACAAATAGTGCGGGAGATATACGTCCGGCGCGCCGGACGTGTAGACACTGCCTATTATAAATTGAAGGTAAAATTAAAACTTGGACAAGATGGACGAATTGTATTTCCCTTCATTAAACTAAAGAATAGTCCATGGTCCATGTCTAATATCTTTAGGGGTGTGCCGGATCCGTTTTTTCCAACCGGATCCGGATTTTCTTATGCGAAATCCGCCGGATCCGGATTCCGGTTTCTCCCGGATTCCGGTACTATTGGTAGATACTTCGGTAAGTCAAGGTGGACTACTACTTTTTGTGTATGGGAATTCGCAATCGGCGCCAAAAAATCCGAGTTTTTAATTTTCCGATGTGTGTGTCTATTTATTATTAAATTAGTACTTTCGATATATATTTGAGTTCCGTTCCATTTGGATAAGTGTCTTACGAGAGACGCCATGTTTCTACGCGTTCGCAGCAGGTTATGCAGCTCGCTCAACCTAATTTCGCCATGGGGTTGGCCACGCCCCCCTTTTTAATGTCGGAAGTTGACGATACTTAGGAAATATTAATTTATTATCACTATTTACATCAAAATAATTGATAACTTGTGTTTCAGAATGCATTTAAAGACATTAAAACTGGAATGTTTTAATTTGAGCTTTAACAACCCGGTAGAATCCATATTATAAATGATCAGAATTTACCGTGTGCAACACGTTGTCATTGGCAACCATTCACAGCCACTTGCATAACTGTATCGTAGTACTACCTCAGAGTTTCATTCATAAGAGTTTGCCGTGTGCAAAAACTATTAAACCATTGGTCAGGGAAAGCTTTAATTAATTATTCATGTGCCAAAGTTGAAAGTTTAAACTAAGTCTAAACAGTATTTTAGTGATAAGGCAGGGAATGCGTTGCCTTATATAAACTATATAGTCATTGCGCATGACGGGATTGGTGGAATGAGATCACAGAATGTGGAGATGCAGTCCATGTTAAAAAATGACAAACCAAGTCGTACTTTAAAAATTCATAACTTTAAAACTACAACAGCTAAAAATATGATTTTGGTGTTATAATTCTTTAAAAAATTACATCTTTTCAACTATGCCATTGGTTTATTTTTACAAAAAGTTTAAATTTTCTTATCAAAGTCCCTACACTATTGGCCACTATTAGCGGTGCTGACTCTAGCCTCTGGTATGTACGGAATATTAAACATTAAACAAGCTCAACGCTCGAAACAATCGATTAATGTATCGTGATCGTGTGAAATTCGGGAAAGAGAATTACTTTTATTTCAGATTATGATCCGGTGAGTCACAAAATCTGGCAAATTCCGAAATCCGGTATATTCCTGATTCCGGAATCCGGTTGTTCCGGATACATGTAAATCCGGCGGAACCGGATTTCACCGGATAGTGCAAAATCCGGCGGAACCGGATTCCGGACCGGGATCCGGCACACCCCTAAATATCTTCATTGCCAGCAAATTCAAATTCATCATGTCATAGTAGACATTAATGATACTGAATATTGCTATTTGACCAATGCAAAATAGGCAAACATTGACCTTATTACACGCTAGTTTTGTTTAAAAGATGTGATCAATGCACATATATCCCATTAACATGTTAAAATACACGCAAAGAGAAGGGGAGATTATTTATGAAAATTAGGCCTATCAATCAAATAAGAACAAGAAGGTATGCTAAACTTTAAACATGAATTCTAATTCATTGGTCAGTATGCTGCACATGAATTCATTGACAGGACAAAATATCAATCACGAAGAGTTTGCATGCATTCAAAACTTTGATAATTAAATGATGTTAAAGTTAAAGTTTTAAAATTATTAATTAAACTTTAAAAAAAAATTTTTTTCTGTATGGATCTTCATTCTGTTATACAGATGTAAAAATATATTTTGTAGAGTTCTTGAGTTTGATTCCATCTGTTTAGCATACTAATCCTGAATTAATTTATTTATCAATCATTACGAATAATTGAAGATTACAGAAATATGTGATGTTTAGGCCAAGCTAAGCATCATAGGCTTGCTATTTTATGAAATTTTTTTATGTCAGAGACAAATAACAATAAATTAAGAATGGGGTTAGAGATTTGATTTGTGTCTGAAGAAAGTGACTTAACTTAAGTCTTACACTCTTAACTCTGATTAACTGACTCTATCTGTTAGTATCAGTTCAAGTCAATCTAAAGAATGAGGATATAAATGAATTATATGACTAGTATTAGTCTGTGTATGACTGAGTGAATCAGATTCACTGAGATTCAGGCTCAGGACATGCATCTGTAGGAGTAGGAGTATCCTCAAAATGAAATTGAGGAAGTCCAAAACCAACTAAGTTGTAAAATGTATTTGCTTATATTCAGTGTATAATATAAATGAATTAAATGCCAACTAACCAAATATTAAAACGTATTTTAAAACGCCTTAGTAAGCTTCAAATCTGACAACGTATTTCCTTAAAATAGCTATCGGTCAACATAACATGATGAACATGCCATGGGCAGCGCCATTTTCTTGATTTGATGTCAATAAATTAATGCGCGTTAACCAATGATTTTAAACGCGCTTTCCATCCCACAGCTAACAAAATATAAAAAAATATATATATAAAAAGACGGAATAACTTAAAGAATCATGACTTTATTCATAGTGAATTCCATTTAATTTTATCTAAACTAATTCAATAAATTATGTGATACATCCTGCATTTTAAATCCCCCCAAATAAATTCCTTTTGATATATTTTATCACCATGCGCAAGATTTTAAACAGTGTTAAGTACAAAGTAGGACGTTCTTTGATTTTAAAGGTACACACTTTATAGAAAATTTCCGAGAAATGTTTTCTTATTATATTACATTTAATTTTTAAATTATACCAATGTTTCTTTAAATTTTACCTTTTATTGTACTGATGAAGGCATTTGCCGAAACGTCTATATTTGTATTTTGTATAATCATCATTAAAGCTGAGCATATATTGTTATATTTACACATTTGTTTATGTCTAATTAATTTATTATATTTAGCCTTATTGCCTACTTGAATAAATATTGTTAAAAATAATAATGATCCTTTTCTTTACATTTACCCAGGAATCGGGACTAAAATAAAAGAATTTAAAAGGGATTGCCTACCTCATAGAGTAGGTTTTTTTTTTTTTTTTTTTTTTTTTTTTTTTTATAATGATCCTTTTCTTTACATTTACCCAGGAATCGGGACTAAAATAAAAGAATTTAAAAGGGATTGCCTACCTCATAGAGTAGGTTTTTTTTTTTTTTTTTTCATTTTAATTTCAATACATTAGATATGATCTAAGAGACGACTAACTCTCAATTGAAACCAGGAGCCAAAATGATCAATAAAGTATTCGTGGGCCCTCAAATATGAAAAAAAAATAAATATTTAACCACTGGTGTAGATCTATTTAAACTTGTATACACGCGTATTATATAATTACTGGTATATAATATGACCATGACTACCATTCACCGTTACTTTAAACCAGACTGCCACTAGCAGGGTTGTCACACTGTTCGATAAAGCACACGCTTTCATTATTGAATTATTTAGTGTTTATATCATCAGTCAATAGTTTTTCAAATTCTTGATTCAAGTTCAGTTGATAAGTTTGCAGTATCCGAAAATCGCACTGGTGACAGATAATGATTTTAACATTTGAAAAAAAAAAAATGTCACGGTGTTAGAATCCCTGATAACTGAGAGTCTGTTTTGTGCCAAGCGGACAATAAGCGTAGGTATACTTAAGGCAAAGGAGGTAGTAATACGGAAGAAGTGTGCTGGTGGTCAGTAGAGCAGGGGAGAGCGAGTGGGTAGGACGAGGACCGAATGCGTATCAGTGTTATTGGTAGTTTGTGTTAGTAGTGTTGCGAGACAGCCCTTTGGTACGTGTGGTTCTTTGGTCAAGCTTGTTAGCGGAACCCACGTGACCAACTTGAGATCTTGTTAGATTAAATTGTAGTAGATAATAAAGTTCATAGTTAATAACTGGAAAAAACTCTTGCGACAAGTCTTTGCGTACAGCGTGAACGTCATACCCTCGTCCTAGACAACGGAGTCACGTGAATAAATTCGTGCACCCCCCCCCCCCCCCCCCCCCCCCCCCCCCTTTTTGCGAATGGTGGAAGCCAAAAGCCAACCCCACCCCAAGGAGCTTGGTTAATTCTCTCAATCCCAAGAACCAAAACTAAGACCATCGGTGAACGCTCATTCTACTTCCATGGGCCCACGTTCTGGAACCAGCTCCCCTTTCCATATCCGTCATTGTGAAACCTCGTCCATTTTCAAAAAGTCCCTTAAAACTCATCTGTTTAGGTCCGCCTATGACCTGTGATACACCCTCCTTGCCCTGCCTCATTTTCTGTCTCTGGTTGATCCTGAAGTATAGGCCAAAACCTGTCAAAGTGTCCTCGTTTTGTAGCCATTTTCATTGTTTCTATAGTATAGTAGTTACTATCCTAGTGTCTCATCTTTATTTTACATAGTTTACATGTTTTTAATAATTGTAAAGCGCTTAGAGCTTTAAGGTAAGCGCTATATAAAAATGCCTAAATAAATAAATAAATAAATCAATCAATAAATGTTTTGGCAGGCGGTGTTGTTTCAGACAATTTGTTTCCGGGGCAGGGGGTTAATTCAGAAGTTCGGGTGGGCGGTGTGGGAAGGGGGGGCACTTTGTTCTTTGAATGGAGGGGTCGCATTCTTGTCTAAATGGAAAGTTTTTATTGCGGAAAATGGTGACACAAATCTTGCCACCACCAGGGTGGCCCTAACCCTTGCTACGCCCGTGGGCAGTGGACCCATGAGCTCCAAAGTGGGTTAGTGGATCCCTGAGCTCCAAAGTGGGTCAGAGGATCCCTGATCTCCAAAGTGGGTCAGTGGATCCATGAGCTCCAAAGTGGGTTTTTGTAGTGTTGCGTTTGTTTTAAATGTGGTGAATTATAGATATTTTTTGTTGACTTTGCACCGCGCTTCGAGCCTTTGGGGATGAAGCGTGTTTTTGAAATGAACTTTATTATTATTATTATTATCCCTGAGCTCCAAAGTGGGTCAGTGGATCTATGAGCTCCAAAGTGGGTCATAATGACGACCCTCCCCTCGTTTAACACAAAATAAATGAAATCAATTTGTGGCACCCCTTACTAAGAGCGTTAGGGCAGCGGCTCCAACCCCTTTTCCCCTGTGCTCGTTGATTAGACTTATACTGAAACATAGCTTCTTTTAAAGGAAGGGTTGTAAATACCCCCCCCCCTCTGCTCGTTGATTAGACTTATACTGAAACATAGCTTCTTTTAAAGGAAGGGTTGTAAATACCCCCCCCACCAAACCACACTACTTTTTTTTACAGTTTTCCACAATTATTAATTTATTTGTGCGTACACTAAAGCGGTGCCCCGTGGGTGTGCTTAACAGATGTTAGGAACCACTGCATTAAGATATGGATTTTGTCGCAGCTAAATGTTTTAAATTAATTTTATTATTATTATTTTTATTAAAAAATATTCCGAGATTGCCATTTTGATTGGGGAGTGGAAAAGGGGGGGGGGGGCGGTACAGAAATCGAAGAGGCCACCAGCCCTAGAGGGAAATTTGTAGCGTTGTCTGGGGGGGGGTGGGTTGGACCCCGGACCAGAGAATTTCCACAATTCAAAAAATTTTAAATTAATTTTATTATTATTTGTTTTATTAAAAAATATTCCGGGATTGCCATTTGGAGGGGGGGGGGGAAAAGGGGGGGGGGGGGCAGTACAGAAATCGAAGAGGCCAGCAGCCCTAGAGCGAAATTTGTAGAGTTGTCTGGGGGGCGGTGGGTTTGACCCCTGACCAGAGAATTTTCACAAATTCAAAATCAAGGGGTGCATTTTGGCGAATACCTGGGGTGGAAGTCAGCGTATCTATCAGAGCGCATATGGGGTATTATGGTACAAAGTGCCATATATAACCTGTATTCATTCCAGATTTGGCATGCCCCAGAGTATTCTTTTGGACATATCTTTGTTTCGCACCCGTAATGTTACATTGATACGCGTTTAGGAGTAGGTGGGGGGTGGTGTTGAAATTGAGGGCGCTTATCCCTCCGGATCGAAAGTAAAGAAGGGGGAGGGAGAAGTTCATTGAGCCCTTCACCAGAGAAGTTTTAGATTTTTTTAAATAAATTCAAGAGTGCATTTTTGCACATAATTGAATTAAGCTTTGCACAAAGTGTCAAACTCCTGTTTATACTAGATTGGTTAATTCATCAAATTCTTTCACACGTTTAAATACGCCTTACTAGCACTGAATCAACTCAAGTCCTTTTTCATAGTAAAAGCAAATTTAATATCTTATTAGATTCACAGACTGTTAATTCCTATACAAATGTATAGCGCAGCTGGATATCAGAGAGAAATAAAACACAACCTCCTTTCAAGACTGCCGCAGGACCAAAACGAACGTCACAAAACAGACTAGACAATACGTCATAATAAGCATAAAAATACGTCAGCAAGTCAAGCGCGGGACGAGCGTTCACTAACTAATTAATCTCTCCAAAAAAAAAAAAAACACCGCGCGTAATCAAACATACTATCCAGTCGCAACAATTATTAATGAACTCCCATACTTGACAGAAAGCAACCGAATTTATGTGTTACTAGAAATGGTTGTATTTATACAAATTTATATTTTAATTTGTTACTATATAGCAATGTTTTTTCTTGTAATTTTTATTAAAAAATATTTACTTCGTTAACTACTTCATTAATAAATGAATTCTTTCAAAAACAGATCTCCATAAAAAGTGGACGTTGAAAAAAAGCAAGTATAATAATTACCTTCCCCAAATATTCTCAACTCTTACCAGATGCAAAAAGAGAAAAAAGTACTGGCTTGTAGAAAAGGTATGTAATTAAATTTTATAAATTTCATGTGATTGTCAAATAATTATACTAAAAACTATAGTTTTATTGCATGATGAAATGTTTCAATGAACACCCCCACCTTAAGTTAGAGTGACCAAACGTCCCGTAAAAAACGGGATTGTCCCGTTTTTTTCACGACCGTACCAGTTGTCCCGAAAAAGTCTCTCGGGACGCCTAAATGTCCCGTTTTTTTAAACCAAATAAATTTTCAAATCACTAAAAAATTCCGAATGTATAATATAATTTCAATTAATATTTTGGCTAGCTGTGTAGCCAGTGCCAGTAGTGATGTGGGCTCGCGCAATGGCTGCACTGTTCCCCCTCCACTACAGAGTCTTATATGTAAATGCATAGCGAAAGACACGAGACTTGAAGCAGCCCTGGGGGGGGGGGGAATGTAACTGCGTAGAAACCAATTTTGATTCCGCTACCACTACGTGTAATGTGTTTGGGTGTTGAACTTCATTCTTTAATTTTCTATTATCTTCTCATGCAGACAAAAACTATCCCCAAGCGTCAATGTAAGTTTATGGCGGAGTATTCCAAAGAGTGGAGCTATATTAAAAAAGGACGCTTTGAAAGTAAAGCCGAGTGCACAGTATGCAATAATGTTTTTAGGTATTGGTATTCCCCCCCTTTTTTTT